TAATTTTAAAAATCCCACGACAAAGGGAAATAATTAAATAAAATCATATTAAAAAGTAATTAAGTGAGTATCAACCCTTAATTAATCCGTGTATTCCTTTGCGCCGCCATTTTCCCTTATATTTTCTTTGCGCTGTCAAAATGCGCACCCAATGGAGCACTATATACTACTGATGGCCCGTCAATATTAAACCCATAATATAGGCCGTCCGCTCTTGACCCTTGAGATGGCCCGTCCATACTTGGACCCTGAGATGGCCAGTCCATACTTTGTTTCTATTACAAAAAAAAATTTCCGTGCGAAACTGACCTCATCAGACTAGCGTGATTGACTTCATTAGAATAGCTTGATTGCCTCATTAGACTAGCGTGATTGACCTAAGAAGAATAGCGTTATTGACCTCCTTAGATTAGTGTAATTGACCTCATCAGACTAGCGTTATTGACCTTGTAAGACTAGCGTTATTGACCTCATCAGACTAGCTTGATTGCCTCATAGGGCTAGCGTGATTGACCTCATCAGACGAGCGTGGTTGACTTCATTGGATTAGCGTGATTGACCTCTTCATATTAGCGTGATTGACTTCATTAGACTAGCTTGATTGCCTCATTAGACTAGCCTGATTGGCCTCATTAGACTAGCCTGATTGGCCTCATTAGACTAACGTGATTGACCTCATTAGAGTAGAGTGATTGACCTCGTCAAACTAGCGTGACTGACCTCATTAGACTAGCGTGATTGCCCTCATTAGACTAGCGTGACTGACCTCATCAGTCTAGCGTGATTGACCTCATCAGACTAGGGTGATTGACCTCATCAGACCAGCGTGATTGACCTCTTCAGATTAACGTGATTGACTTCATTAGACTAGCTTGATTGCCTCATTAGACTAGCCTGATTGGCCTCATTAGACTAACCTGATTGGCCTCATTAGACTAGCGTGATTGCCCTCATTAGACTAGCGTGACTGACCTCATCAGTCTAGCGTGATTGACCTCATCAGACTAGGGTGATTGACCTCATCAGACCAGCGTGATTGACCTCTTCAGATTAACGTGATTGACTTCATTAGACTAGCTTGATTGCCTCATTAGACTAGCTTGATTGGCCTCATTAGACTAACGCGATTAACCTCATTAGAGTAGAGTGATTAAGCTCGTCAAACTAGCGTGACTGACCTCATCAGACTAGGGAAATTGACCTCATCAGACCAGCGTGATTGACCTCATCAGACTAGCGTGATTGACCTCATCGGACTAGCGTGATTGACCCCTTCAGACTAGCGTGATTGACCTCATTAGACTAGCGTGATTGACCTCATTAGACTAGCGTGATTGACTCATTATACTAGCGTGATTGACCTCATTAGACTAGCGTGATTGACCTCAAAGGACCAGCGTGATTGAACTCATTAGACTGGCGTGATTGACCTCATTAGACTAGCGTGATTTACCTCATTAGTCTAGCGTGATTGACCTCATTAGTCTAGCGTGATTAACCTCATTAGACTAGTGCGTCCTCGTGCCATCAAATGACAAACAAACAACTGTGTCTTGTCGCTTTCCGGAATTTTTGTTTCCGAAACTGCGATTAATTTATTAGTAAATAGCGAGATTAATTTATTAGTAAATAGCGAGATTAATTTATTAGTAAATAGCGAGATTAATTTATTAGTAAATAGCGAGATGTAACATTTGCTCTATTTTGTTCGTTAAGCTTCTCAATAAATGGAGATAAATACCCTGATATATTTATAGGCCTATAAGCACTAGCGTAGGAAGGGGGATGGGGAAGGACCGCTCCATCTCGTAAGGCTATTTTGTTATTTAGGTCGATGTGACATTTTTGGGTCCACAGAAATGAAAATAAAGATAATAAAATGATCAAAAGACACGGAACATAATTTTATGTTTCAAAAAAAATTTTTTTTAATACAACTAGATCTATTACTAATTTCTACTTTTACTTAGGCTACTGCTCTTACTTTCTATTTTACTTACTATTATTACTTACTATCATGACTCATATATATATATATATATATATATATATATATATATATATATATATATATTTTTATTTTTTATTTTTTTTATTTTTACAGACACAATTCAAAGATATAGTATATGTTTAAAAAAACACAAAGTTGATATAATTTTATGTTTCAAAAAAAATTTTTTTTAATACAACTAGATCTATTTCTAATTTCTACTTTTACTTAGGCTACTGCTCTTACTTTCTATTTTACTTACTATTATTACTTACTATCATGACTCATATATATATATATATATATATATATATATATATATATATATACATATATTTTTATTTTTTATTTTTTTTATTTTTCCAGGCACAGTTCAAAGAAATAGTATATGATTAAAAAAACAAACAGTTGAGATGTTAAACAAAAACGCGATAGTCGTCAAGGGATGTCATTTGACAGAGTTGTCTTTTGATGGCGTCAGTATCAAGGGACATTTTAGTTTTTATTGATTTTTAAAACAGGTTTAATACCCACTCACTGCTGTATTCTGGACTACTACATTTCAGCCAAGTTTTCATTTGTATGTATATATTTGTTACTCTTTTCTGCACTGTTCGGTAAAGATGACTTCTTGTTGATGCGTTCGTTATTTTGTTGAGTCTTTTAAAAAAAAATTAAACAATATAAAAAAATAACTTTCTCTTTCCACACATTTCAATTTTGTTTTATTCTTGTCGTAATTATTTTCTTTACACACGTGACTAAACGAGCTCGCTTGGTTGCATAGTCTGACTTGTGGCTATCGGGAATGTCGCATCACGTCTGCTTCGTTCAATGAAAGGCGGGACGCACACACCAAAAAAAATATTTTAAAACAAAATATGGGTTTTGTAGAGTAAATCCTATGAGAACTATAAGATTTGGGGGATTTTTATTTATTTTTTGTTTAAGTAATCATACATCTTTTGCTGATAATATACGTAGGTCTATACAAATTACAAAATGTAATACTAAATAGTATTAAATAAAAAATGTTTAAATTTTTTTTAAAAATAATTTCTTGAACTCGTCTTGGATGGAAAGTCTTTGGTTTTTTTTTTTTAGAATTTCCTCTACCTTGTTTTTTACACATTATTTCCTTTATAGCGTCTTGTCAGATTTCATTTTCGTTTACCTATCAAATTCATAATGATAATTTTATTTTAATATTCCAATTTTGTTGCAATCAATTTCCTGCAACAACCTTGCTAGATTTCAAGTTATTTTTGTCCCCTTCAAATTATATAATTATTATATGATCATGAACCTACTTTACTTAATGGGACGCAATAGTGGAAATGTTTTTAGTCTGCTGTTACTAAGAGTTAACTATCATTTTTATACTGCGTTATATGCCAGTTTCTACTTAAAAAATAAATATGCATCGGAACTTATATTTCTTTTTAAAGAAAAATAATATACTATACTAAATTTCAGAAAATATTTAAGATTTTACCGACATTTTAAAAATATTTTACGTTTTAAAAGACTTATTTATCTTTAATACTTTGATCAAACATTGTTTATATTTATTAGTTTTCCCTGGAAACAAATTCCTGGCTTCAATTCGCGGCAAAAACCAAAACATGGCGGGTATGTATACATTAATAAAATGGCTAAACGAATTGAGAAATAGAAATGTTAACTTGAGTAGAAAAATTGTAAGATATAATAATAATATATTGCAATAACAAAAATGTCAGGCATTGGATATGAAATAATTGTTATAAGTTCACCCATTAGCAAAAGTAAATTCTGGCGAGCATTTTTTTTAAAGGTATATGAATATGAAAAAAGTGGTTTAGCCTGGCCCTGGCCTGTAAATTTAAAATAGTTTACTATTTAGCCTACTTAATACTTATTATTGACTGAAACTGCATGTAGGCCATGTCTCAATGGGCTACAGAAAAGTGGACTCTATCATAGGCCTATCACTACCGCAAATGTTAAGAATAATGAGACCATCCATAAATGATGTCATGCTGTTTTGTCAAATTGTTTACCCAGACTCTCCAACTGCAAAAATATGGGTAAATTTTGAGTTAACGGTATGGGTTTTGCCAAGAGTTTACTCACCCTAAAGGGCAGTGACGTCACCTTAGGGAATACCAACACTGGACTAACGGTGAATAGATCTATTCTTTGAAGGACCCGAACGATGTGTTATAACATTCCGGTTCTTTATTAAGCATTTACTCAATTACTCGCGTCATAAACAATACGGCTAATATGAAGTATATTGAAATGAAATTTTCCATTAATTTGAATTAAAATTTAACTTACACGCTTCAAAAGAAAGGAAAAAAGAAACACATCCTTGCTGATACCCCAAGACACAACACCGTTGAAAAAAAAGACGCCCGCCAAAATTGCTGTACTGTATGTTGATTAGTTAAAAATACCCTTATGTTGAAACTAGGTAACAAAAGACTACTGCTTAAATTGCATTTGGAATGATCTTCTAGGAAATGGGGAGTGGAGACCCCTCCCCAAACCCTCCCCTCGATTTAAATACCAAAATGAGAAACATAGGTGACATAGAAATTCTCTGGAGGGGGAGACCCCTCCCCAGTACCCATCTCCAATTTAACAACAAATTTCAAATAAGAAAACAATAACTTGCATTATGTAAATACAAACATCGAAATCTTTTTAGTATGGCACTGTAGATGGAAATGGACCTTGGGGGAACCTCCGTGACCTATATACCGTGGAACACATCGTCGGCCTTACCGCTAACTCAAAACCAGCCATGTCACAGAATTAAGACAGCCCTATAACACATCATAATAAATGTGTGACACACTTTGCCCTTAGATTTGTGAAATCATTTATGAATGGCCTCTAAACACAAAAGTGGTAAATTTCTGCCCTTAATATTTCATCAAATTATCATTTATATTGAAAGAATGCAAGGTTTTTATAATTTCAATTCATCTTTAACATGACAAGTAATCCCTTCTCTGTATTTTTTATTTTCTAGACCTTAGCCTTGCCAGGAAAAATGAACTAGAAGCTTTTAAAAGTTCAGCAAATGATGTTATTAAGTTCAAGCTGGGTATGCCATTTTCAAATTAGTTTTTAGTCATATTTACCTTACACAAGTATCCCTTGACACATGTGTTCCAGTGGCTAATTTTAATTGCATCCGTTAATTAAGTCTAATAATAGAAATTCATTGATTAATAAAAATTCTAAACAATTTATTTTCCTATGGTTTAATGAATAAAATAATATTCATTTTGGCAAAATTCTTGTTTCTGAAGGCAAATTAAACAATTGTTTTCAGTAAGGTCAGAAGTTGACATTGAAGATGAAGAAAAATCCTTTGCTCCTGACATGACTCATCAAATATTTGGGGACTCGTAAGTTATTATATTTACCACAAAAAAAACAACTCTTTGTGATTTATTAGCATTCATTATGGACCAATAAAATTCTGTTACAAATATGTAAAATGATATTTATCAATTTTTTAAAAACTTTGTTCCCCAAACATATTTTACATGCCTTAATAAACATTTTATAGTTACATTGATAATCAAATTAAAGATGAATAATTCTTGTTACATTAACCTAAGCTGGTTTTTCATTGACTGATTCTTTAAACACGTAATTTTAAGTGTTTGGCTTGGTTTACATGTGCTATAAATAATTTTTTGTCATTGACTATTTTATTTCATAAATAATCACAATTATTGGTATGATGGTGTGCTGAGAAAATTATAAAAATTAAGTTATGTTCAATCCACCAGTGATGTGGCTACCAGTGTGCCATTGCATGAAAGGTTGACATCATCCCAGTAATGTGGCTACCAGTGTTCAATTGTATGAAGGTTGACATCATCCCAGTGATGTGACATGGATTCATTATTAGACATGCTTTTAAAAATATTTAAATCTATTTACAATTTCCTTGTCACCAGAGAAACAATATTTGGGTACAGAAATCTGAATGTGTGCCTGTACTATACTGCATCCAAACTGGTCCCATACTTCAACGTGACATTCAGTGAAACATGCAGTGTTGATCAACACGGAGTACCCGTAAGTTACCTTTTGAAATATTTTGATTCATATTGTCGAAACCTGTGTTTCACAAACTTAACTCATTCCCTCTGGCTGTCTGAAATCATCACTTAACTTTAATCTACATTCCTCAACAAAGGGAAGTTACTGCGATTTGTGTATGAATTTTATTTATAATAAATAACTCCTAAATATTAATTAATTTAGCCAACACTAGTGACTAATGCATCCAGAAATGGATTAGGTTTAAGAAAAATATGCCATTAATGATAAAAAACAAAAAATGGGGGGGGGGGGGTCGTCATCAGACAAACATGCATAAGTTCTAAGACAACCCTTACTTAGGTGCATATAGATTCAAACAAATCAATTTGAAAAACTTTCGTCTGTCTATCTTGAAATCTAACCATGAGGAAAGTCTTGGGGGAAGCGTGATTTCTTCAATTCTATTAAATAACAGGAAAATTCCTCACTAGAAGTTGTGTGCACAGTTTAAAACTCTCCACCATGGAACATTCTGCACACCAAAAATACCAGACTTAAAACTTATAGCTTAAGTACTATAGACTGATGTCTACTTTGTAAATATAAAAGTGTATATCTGATTGAATTCTGGCTGACCAATATAAAACATTTCTTTGAGCATTGCACTTGCAGCAAACACAAAAAAAATAATTTCCCTTTGTGGGGAATATTTGTTTACAGAATCATCTATGATGGAATTTCAGTCTGTGTGAGGAGCATTATTTGTGGGGACTTTCCAATGTGCACACTATTCTAGTCCCAGTTTTGTAGTAGGGAATAGTCTTGTGGGGCATAATCTGTTCACAGAATAACAATGAGAGCGATGGGTCAGAATGTACTCTTGAAAGGCTTTTTTAATGGCTTTGGCAACCTCTTCTTAACTAAAACAGTGCTATCAGATAAAGAACCTCTTCTTAACTAAAACAGTGCTATCAGATAAAGAACCTCTTCTTAACTAAAACAGTGCTATCAGATAAAGAACCTCTTCTTAACTAAAACAGTGCTATCAGATCAAGAACCTCTTCTTAACTAAAACAGTGCTATCAGATTAAGAACCTCTTCTTAACTAAAACAGTGCTATCAGATTAAGAACCTCTTCTTAACTAAAACAGTGCTATCAGATCAAATGAGTTTTTATTTGAATCTTATTTTCAGCCAGACAACATAGAGAAAACACTATCACCAGAACTACCACCTGGCTATCTCACCAACCTGGACAGCTTTAGGTGTGCTATATCTAAGGAGAAAAACTTCAAACCTTATGGACAGATGATTGATGCTTATACCGTAATCACAAGTAAGCTCTTTGTAAAAACTCATCAAATGTTACAGAAAATTATTTTTTTGGTTTTTATATTTCATTTTGGTTACTTTGTAACCATTTTTTGCATTACATTATCCTCTAAAAATTTGTATAATTTCATATTATATAAATTTTTGAAGTTTTAATAGATAAAAAAATTATTTAAAATGAATCTCTCTTTTTGGAAAATCTTTAAATGCTTTTTATTTACTCCAGAAAAAGGTGAAGAGAAACAGTTTGAGGTTTATTATTTAAAAATAGAAGAGGCAGGTTTTCGAGAATACCACTCACGTCTGCAGTCTTTCATCAAGTTTTACATTGATGCAGCATCTTACATTGATGTTGATGATGAACAGTGGGATTACTTTCTGTTGTAAGTTGAAATGATGTGTGAAAGTAGCTATTTTCTCTGTTGTTGCCAACTCAAAAAAAATTTCTTTAAAACGGACTTGGAAAACTTCTAAAATAGAAATTGACTTACATCTTTCAAAAGTATCTAAAACACCCAAGTTCATCTAGTGATTCATAATTTGTTTCTTTATTAAATTTTTCCTTTTACCAGCAGAACCCCAGAGGGAATTTATTTAAAATACTCTTTGCCACTGCAGCAATTATCCATCAGTCTCTGTGGCGCTACAGCACATGTAGGGCTTTGCCCCTTTGCACTACTTCCATCCACTCAGACCTAACTAATGCTTTTCTTTTCCTTGCTTGGATTCCCAGGTGCTGTAGATCTTTTTCCACACATCATCCATCCATCTAAGCCTAGGTCTGCCTTTGAGCAGTTTTCCTCTGGGATTTTTGGTGATGTACCCTCTTCACTCCTTTGTCATTCTCTTTAAGTGTCCTGCCCAGCATAGCCTACCATTTTTTAATTCTGCTATTAGCGATCCTGATATACAATGTACAATTCCTGGTTAGTTCATATTCTCCATCCATGTTCATGCTTTGTTGGTCCATATATTTTCCTGAGAATTTTTCTCTCCGATGTGTTTAATTGGTTTTCTGCTGTTTTTGTTAGGGTCCTCGTTTCACTTGGTATTTTACAGCTGGTCTGATTACAGTTTTATAGTTTTTTTTTCTTCTTGTAATTTTTTTACTTTTGAGTATTTACTCTTTTAGCTTATTTCCACCGAACCTAGCCACCAACTGTAAAGAACTTGCATTCACTCTCTTTAAGAAAACTAGATACAATGTGCATCTCAATTTCCTTAACAATTGCATACGTCTCCGCATTGTACCTAAAGGCTTTACGAGTAATTTCAACCCGGCGGCTGGCTCCCTCAACTCTTATGACATGACCAAACTTCAATCTCTTGAGAAGAAAATAGCATTTCAACATATGCGTATTGTTATACACAGCCATAAGCGTCTCATCGCCGATCTCAGTGCCACCATTTACCAACTTGAAGATCGCATCCTCTCTAAGACCTCTAACTGCTTATCATATGATCTTATTATAACGATTATCCACCAACTTAATCGGGAACTGTACCGCTTCCTTTCTACCAACAAGAAGAAGAAACTCAACAATCTTAAGCCCACTAACAACTCTAGACCTCATCAAACTGTCACTGGCAACAGCTTCGTCGTTTGCATCCGCCCTGCACTTCCTCTCTCTGATTATGAAAGGTCGCTACTTTCTAAGGGTCTCAAATTTATTTTTTGAAGTATTTTTAAAAGTGGCATCATTAATACAAATAATGGAAAAATTGCTTGAAATTTGTAGATGTGGTGTACATATATGTGTTGTATATGCCATTATTGATGAATAATGAATATAATAAACATTTGAACTTAGGACTAAACACTTATTTTTTAGCTTCTACCTGTTTGTGGTATGCTTACATTTTTGTGAAAATTTAGCACACCTAAAAACCTAATCTTTTGACCATAAATAAAAAGCATTATTAACCATGATCGCATAATTGGTATCAAATAATAGATCAATCAATTCTGAATGCAATGATATGTAACATGTTGTTACTGCTGTGTTATTTACTGAACAACCAGATGGTAAAGGTACCCAATGAGGGAGAAAAAATGGCAGAAAACCAAAAACATTTAAGAGTTAATGCTCCATACTGGCTCTTACACATTTGCGGTCTGGCTTGGTATCCATTCTTTTCATCTTTTATCTTCATGCACATTCCTCCAATGTTTCCCTCTCTTGATAAGTTTTCTATTTCGCTTAGCTTTTTCACATTTCCTCTTTAATTCCTACACATTTTTGTAAGTTTTTCTTGTCTTTCTGGTTTTTCTTTGTATTGACAGTCTCTCTGCATTCATTATCAAACCAGTCTACTCTTTTGTTAGTTTGCTGGAATCCTACTACTTTTTCTGCTGATCTTTTCATAGTATTTTAATTTTATTTATCTTACCCCACTGTTCATTTATGTTGTTTTTCCCTGTTTATTTCCTCCTGTGATGGTCCTCCTTGTTGTGCTTCTACTTCATTTTGGTAAGCTTTTGGAGTTAGTGGGTCTTTGGTCAGTTTTTTTTTTTGGTAATCATATAGTTTTTCTCTTTGACTTTGGCTATTGTGAATTATGCTCATTCTCTGTTTATATTTAACTCTTACAAGTAGATGGTCACAATCTGCATGTGCTCATTGATAGCTTCTTACATCTAGTATATCTGATCCATGCCTCCGATCGATAAGAACATGGTCAATTTGGTTGTGGGTGATTTCATCTGGTGAGTTCCAAGTAACTGTAACTTTATGTATATTTGTGTGTGGAAACTTGGTGCTGATACCTGACATCCCATTTCCTGAAGCAAAGTCTATGAGTCAGATTCCACTGTCATTGGATTCTTCATGCAGACTCTCCTTGCCAATAATTGGCATGAACACTTGTCTTTTCCTATTTTGGCATTAAAGTCTCCAATCACTATTCTAACATCATGTCGTGGTGCCTCTTCATAGATCTTTTCCAGTGTCTCATAAAAGGATTCTTTTTCCTGATCTTCCGTGAGAGCATGTACATTTATGAATGTTATATTCAACATTTTTCCTCACACACGCAAAGAGCACAATCTTTCATTCTCTGGTTTGAAGCCTATGACTGCACTCAGTGCTTCTTTTTTTCACGGCAACTCCTGTTCTTAGAATGTTAGTGTTGTTGCCACTATAAAATATGGTGTAGTCTTATGTTTTGGGGATGTCGGCAATTTTCCATTGAATTTCTTGCAGTGCAGCAATAGATATTTTATATTTAATCTGCAGCGACTATATTGATGCTAATTTCAGATTTGAGCGCTACAAAGATGGCGGTGAAGTACAATTTGCAGCAGCTGGTTACATGACCGTATACAACTTTTATGCTTACCCTTCCCGGATACGTCCAAGAATTAGGTAAGTGAGGGAAGTGTGGATCTAAAAGATTTTTAATTGCTATAAATGTGGAGACCATGAAATATAAACATGAGTCAAGGTAGAAATGAACTATGGAAGGTGATCAATGAAATATAAACATTAGTCAAGGTAGTGATAAACTATGGACGGTTTATTAATGAAATATAAACATTAGTCAAGGTAGGGATACAATATGGAGGATTTATCAATAGCTTTGGTTTGTTTTCTGAGTCCACAAAGTTTTTCTGATTTACGTTGAGAAGTTTGGATTAAAGCTATTTTTAAACTTACAATGGCTACTTACTTTATCAATTTTGATCATTTCAGCTTAAGATAATATCCACAATGTTGGTTACATTCACCTCATCAAAATCTTGTTTTTTGTTTTAATTTACTGCAGCTGCTTTGACCCTTTCATTTTTTCAAAGCAGCTCATTTGCCCTTTTGTTATTGGGCAAGGTTGCTGTATTATTATTTGTCTTGTTTGCAGTCAAAGGTTGCTATTGATTATTTTTACTATTTTGTTCTTCTTAGTGTCTGTTGTTTTCATTTCTCATTATTTTAAAAACGTAATCCTGGTTGTTTGTTCCTTACCTTTTTGTAAAAATTTCTCTGATTTCAGTCAAGTTCTGGTGCTTCCTCCATTTCAAAAGATGGGACTTGGCTCTAAAATGATTCAGACATTTTACAATATGTGCTACTGTAGACCAGAAGTTCTGGATATTACAGGTTTTTATTGTGTTTCCACTAGAGACAGACCGAATTTCGGTTTCGGCATCGACAGTTGCCATTTGACCACTTGCGGTCTAGTTCCAGTTTCGGCCACAAACAGAAAAGTTAACCTTCAGTTTAATTTCCCGAAACAGAAACATTAACTTTTGGTTTAATTTTGGTCTCGGCCAAAAGTGATTGAGAGTTCCGGCCATCTGGTCATCTACCAGAAGTCACACTGTCTGACTGTCTCTAGGCCAGCAATCTGATATTCATTATTGCTCGATGCTTTGCTGTCATCGTATGTTATATGACTAATACTCTGCGAAAAATGCTCACAACTCATTGATGACCTACTTGTCATTTATTTGTTAAAGTTCAATTAAGCCTAGGCAAATGTAAATAATTTTTGTAGAAGAAAATCTACGGGAATTATTTTTGTTTTTAATTGTAAAATTAAATTAGGGATAACCGGGAAACATTGTAGTGATATTTTTATAACCTTAATATCTGATATCTAGGTGACAAATAATAATTATTATAGATATATTTCTAGGTAATGTTGTAATTATATTATAAAAGCAAAGGGCACTCAAACAAATAATAATTATTATAGATATATTTCTAGGTAATGTTGTAATTATATTATAAAAGCAAAGGGCACTCAAGGGTCTATTTGCATGTATTTTGCAATCCCCCCCCCCCGCAACCGTCCAATTTTCTGTCACCACACTACTTTAAAAAACATTTTCAAGAAAATTAAATGGTAAAAGCCAAAGTATTCATTAGATGTTTATTTGTTAATATTCACGATGACCTCATTTTTATAAAAAGAATGTAAATATTGATACTTTCCCCCATCATTTTTCGATGTATGCAGAATTTATGCATGAACGATTTTCAAAATATCTAAATCTTTCGGTTTCAGTCGAAAGTCTTGTTAATGTTTAGGTTTAGGCCGAAAGTCATATTAAATTTCAGCCTGGTTTTGGTCGAAATCAGAAAATAACTATTTCCACCAACATATATATGTATTGCATACTATCATATGAATATTGTTTCAATCAACATGCTATATATTTTTTAACTTATCTTTTTCTTTATTGAAGCTCAAATTCAATAGATGTTTGTTAATTGATTAGATTCCCAGAATACTTTTCTTAAAAGATAAAAACTTCATTTTTTTAAAATCAAATTTATCTAACAGTGGAGGATCCATCTGAAAATTTCCAGAGAGTTCGAGATTATGTTGATGCTAAAAATTGTCAAAATCTTGACAGCTTCAAACCAGATCAACTGCTCAGAGGGTTCTCACATGAAATGATACATGAGGCCCAATCAAAGCTCAAGCTTAGCAAGGTAACTATTAACTCTTTCCATGCCAAGCCACAATTATATCGTTGATTTGACTGGTCATGTTTGTGCCAATCCACGATATATTGTCGAAATAATTTCTGTAGTTTATTTCTTTGCCTGCGGTCATTAATCGAACTTTTTATGTTCTTAAACGAAGGATAACTCTTCCTACTTCCTTCCTGTCAGAAGTAGGGCTTGTTTACATGTGTTTTTATAATAATTTCAACCTTTTTTCCATTTGTGTTGAAAATTTTGTAAACAAAGCAATGGCAGCGCCTACTCCAAGCTATGTGTTACCAGGCTGTGTTACCAGGCCACGTGTTACCAGGCCACGTAGGTTGCCAAGTTTTCAGGCACAAGAGCTTTTATTGCAAATTATTGCTGCCAAAACTTAGAAAAATGTCAATGAATCATTTGAATTGGATTCAAGTGATGATTTTCAGCTTTCTGATGACTCGGTAGATGGAAATAGTGGAGGTGGTGATAATAGTGGTGACAGTGAGGATTCAGATAATAATAGTCCTGTTCCTGCAAAGAGAAGTTGGAGATCAGGCAGAAAAGATGCAGGAAGAATAGCATCAGGAAGAAACAGAGGGGTCAGTCAAATAATAATGGATGGAGGAAAGTAAGAGGTTGATGCTTCATTTCGTTTTAGGGAGATTAACAGTGGGTCACATATTTGCCAGAAAATGCCACTCCATAAGATTTTTTAAAGCAAATCATTACAGATGAAATTATTGATGATGTGCTAACTTTAATCAATTCCTACAATAAAGTAGTAATGCAGAAAAATATGCCCCTTTTAGAACACTCACGTCTTCATAGATGGAAAATTGTAGCACACCCTGATCTTTTGAATTTCTTAGCTGTTCTGATAAATATTGGAATTGACCAAAGGCCCTTAATTATTGGCTATTGTGGTCTATATAATGCTATAAACACACACCATGGAATGGACAAATGTTTTAAAGATATGAATTTCAGCTGCTTTTACACACAATGCTGCATGCTTCTGAATCTGATGCACAAGGAGCGGCCAAGATTAAGGTGTCAAAGCTGCTGGGTGAGTTTAGGAAGTGTTTTATCCAGATGAAACTATCAGCAAAGATGAAATGGTGATTGGATACAATGGTTGCTTCAAACACAAGCAGTTGAATGCTGCAAAGTACCATATCAAAACATTCAGACTTTGGGACTCAACAACAGGTCAGGGTTAGGGTTCAACCCAAGCAGTTCAATGCTCAAAGTACCATCAAAACATTAGGACTTTGGGACTCAACAACCGGTTACTTTGGCAAGAACACTGCATATAACTCTGACCTTGATCCTAATGCTAGACAAGCAATAAAAGTGTTTGATACCCTTCTGCAACCCCTTCAGCAGCCTCCTCACCACATCTCTTCTGACAGGTCCTGGTACTACACCACAGCAGCTCTCATGCTGCAGTCAAAAGCCTACAATTATACAGGTGCTGTTCAAGCAGCTCCCCAGATTTTCCACCTGATTGAAAAACTCAAAGACTGGCATACAAAGAGGCAGTGTGGCGTTCCAATGAAGAAAAAGTGACTATGGCAGGCACGATCGACTGTAGGCACACTGTTCATTGCACAAAATAACCAAACGCAGCTGCTATGTGTGCATCGAATGCACAGGACGGCCTTGAATGTGTGCTAAGGAATGCTTTAGAAAATACCAGACAGAAAGAAATTTGAACTAAAATGTTACAAAGCATGTCAATAGTGTGTGTTGACATTTGCTGATATACTCATATGCCAAAAAGTTGTTTTCTTTAGGTGACATTAACATTACAAAAATGTGTACAAGTCAGTCAATAATTGTAATATTTTCAAAATGTAAAATGCATTCTGATCAAAAATGGATATACTTTCTGAGCATTGGAGCAGAATAGGATGCCCGGTACAAAAACCATATAGTAGTCTGATTAGTTCAGATTTGTTGCGCTTTTTTTTTTAAAAGGACAATTTGATATCGTAATATTACCAATAAAAGTTAACCTATTATTGTAATATTGTTTTATCTTTACACATTATTATTCTCTGTCTAATTTCCTATAATTTGATATAAAATGTTATCTTGCTAAGAAAATGATATTCAAAATTCATTGACAAATAAAATGACCCTAAAAAAATTTCTGATGGTTGCAAAGTTTTGATGCGTTATAAAATTAATACCTCCGACAGAAATCAATAATCAAAAGGCCCATGTTTTGTATATCAGTTTAAACAGGAGTGAAATCAATAACTAATAGTTGATGATTTATAAATACTAGTAGTTACTGATTTATAAATACTAGTAGTTATTGATTTATAAATACTACTAGTTATTGATTTATAAATACTAATAGTTATTGATTTATAAAATCTGGTATTTTCTTTAAAAATTAATAATATAAAAAGTTTGTTCACACTGGATTTGTTGCAGCCGCAAAGCTAAGTGGTGTTCACACTTAGTTATGTGCTAGAGCAACAGTCGGCTGCATGGGCATTTTTAAATGCATGTATTTGGCTTTTTTTCTTTGAAATATATTTTTTAAATCTTTCATTAATTTCATTCTTTTAAATGTTTTACAAATTTTAATCTTCAAACTACAAATATTGGCTATTATTGATTACAACATTTGTAAACAAGTCAGAGGATATTAATTTCATTGGGTTTTTTTTATGACCAATCTTTTTTAAACCCATTTCTATGCTACTAACCTGTCAGCTGATAAAAGGCTTGCGCAATAATAAAAATATGATGGGATTGTTTCTGATCATGCATTGCCATCAGAAAATATACTGTGTCTTTAAAAAAAACCTGTGAAAATGAACTTGGTGGCCATGTTTTTGTTACACCAAATAGCACATGGTCACTGAAGGTTGAGAATCGAAGTAACAAATGGCAGTGTGAACGTACCTTACGCTTTTAGACTATCAAACTGTGAAAGTACCTTACATATGTTTTTAATAACCCCTAATTTAGGGAGAGGAGTGGGGGGGCAGTTGTAGAAAGAGTTTGATGTAAATTTATAAGGGAGTTATAAAGATGAAGACATTTTGAAAATAAGAACCAATTTTAAACATGAATATTGTAAAATGTTGATTTCTGCAAGGATGTAAAGACTTAATGATGCCAAATGAATGGACTTGATATTTTATGAACACGTAACCAAGTTATCTCATTGTTGCAGACATTCTAAAGACTTAATGATGTCAAATGAATGGACTTGGTATTTTTTGAACACGTAACCAAGTTATCTCTTTTTTGAACACATTCTCTAGTTGCAAGCAAGGCGAGTTTATGAGATATTACGTCTCAAGGCAACAGATCAGAGCAATAAAGACATGTACCGAGCATACAGACTTGATGTCAAAAGAAGACTCAACATTCCCTTCCTGGTAAAATATGAACATTTCCCAGATTTATGCAAATCTTTTAAACATTTATATAAGAAAAGTTACAAGTTCTGTGTTCAATACAGCCTTGCAACCACTTTAATTATATGTCAAGTTATCACGTGTTTGTTCATTACAGAATTACATTTTGTCAGCTTTAATTTTCATAGGGTCATATTTTAGGATTGCCTCGGTCTTTTTTTTTTTTTTAAGATTTAAGATTTTTATTATCTAAGAGCAGAGAATAATATTTTTAAACTCATTCCTGACGAGAGTTCTACTTCCGTATTTAATTTACATGCCTGAGAAAGGGAAGGAACTCCATTTTGCAATTGATTTACATTTGTAATATATTTTTTTAAGATGTTAAATATTAAATAATGTTAATGGATGCATCCAGAAAAGAATGAGCTTTAATAATAAAAAAAACATTAACGTTTAAAAAAAAAAAAAAAAACAATGACCAAAAAATCCATTTTTGGCATCAATTGATTTACATTTGTAATATATTTTTTTAAGATGTTAAATATTAAATAATGTTAATGGATGCATCCAAAAAAAAATGAGCTTTAATAATAAAAAAAACATTAACGTTTAAAAAAAAAAAAAAGAACAATGACCAAAAAATCCATTTTTGGCACCTCGGACAAACACACGCTAGATGTAGACATGCCGTACTGAAGCACACGAAGTGAAGCAAGGTGAAAACTTCATGTTTTTAAATTGAAATCATGCATAATCACGTTATCTCCTGAAATCTCAAGGGATGCCAGAGTTAATTGCTTTTTTAAAAATAAAAATTAGAGAGGTGTGTCGCGCATTTGGAGACATCCATCAGAAACCCAGAGAGACACATTTAGTCAGAACCGTCAGGAATAAGTTAAAATGCTTAGGCAAGGTTAACAGAGGTTAAGGTCATACAAATTCAATAAACAAAGTTGGATTGAAAGATATTTTTTATTTTCAGAGAAATCGCAGAACTTATCAAAAATTGGAGAAAACTTTAAATGCTGAAGAGCTTTCTCAAACTCTTGGGGTCATGAAAAATGAACAAAAATTTCAGTATTTGGAGAATGCTTTTCAAGAAGAGCTTGCGGCATATAAGCATGTCCTGGAGAGACTTGCTACGTTATAGACAAGTTAAAAGAAAAAGAAATCAAAGTTTAAAAATCTTCAGAGAATGGTGACTACTTTAGGTTTAACATTCGTATGTGTTCTTTTGTTAGCGTACACATTTTGCTGCACTAAAGACTCGGGGGGGGTAATGTTTAATTATTTGATTTATGATATAGCCAAAAGTGTCCATTTATTCAGCAATTTTTTGTACCGGTATCCTAAGAATATCCAAACAAAATTATGTTTAATGAATCACTTAAGTGATTTCTTTTTAAATCAGTTTGTGAAGTGAATCAGTACTGAGCAATCTTGATGTCTCATGTCCTCATGTCTTGATGTCTCATGTCTTCATGTCTTGTTCCATCAGTCATGTATTGGGGGTAGAAGAGTTACATTTGCTTGATCATTTCTGTCAATACTGTCATATAAACATGACCATAAATTTCGGGATCATTTCTGTCAATACTGTCATATAAACATGACCACAAATTTCAGGATCACTTCTGTCAATACTGTCATATAAACATGACCATAAATTTTGGGATCATTTCTGTCAATACTGTCATATAAACATGACCATAAATTTCGGGATCATTTCTGTCAATACTGTTATATAAATATGACCACAATTTTCCGGGAATATTTGGCAACTTTTATTGTTGAGTGAAAGGGAAATTAGCACAATACAGTTGAAAATGTCATCTCTTTGTTTGAAAAGTTCTGGTTGTTAAAGTAAGTGTACTGGTGTTGAGTGATTTGAACATGTGGTTGTTAGAGTAAGTGTACCGGTCTGTGAATGATTTGAATGTGATGTTGAAAGCTTTTAACTATGGGATTGTGTCATTTTAAATGAATTGAAATTGTGTAATTTATATGTTAGCTTGACTGGAGATCTGAAGCATTATTGTTTCTTCTTCAACTGTAAGGTTTCTTAATTTATGAATAAGAAGTGTTCATTGGCTTAAATGTAATACAGATTGATTGGCTAAAGTGTAACACAGATTGGCTGAAGTGTAACACAGGCTGGTTGGCTTAAGTGTAACTCAGACTGGTGATGTACATCAATTGAAATGTAAAGTTGTTATTTTGAAGGAATAAATTGTTATAAAAATTACTTTTATGTTATATTTTAACATTTTTTGGTCCATTATTTTAAGTGTATTTATGTCGAAGTTTGTTATATTATTATTAGATGCTGAAATTAAGTTGTAAAGAGAGGTTGATCAAAAGCTGACCCGTTCTCTAAAGCTGATATATTCTCAGAAGCTGCTGTGATATGTTATGACATTAAGTCCCAAAGATTGTGAAGAGGTCATCAAAATATAAAGCGGTTGTATGAGGACACCCATAGTAGTGGTAGTTTAAAAGGGCAGGTACATCTTGATGAGGACACCCATAGTGGTGGTAGTTTAAAAGGGCAGGCACATCTTGATGAGGACACCCATAGTGGTGGTAGTTTAAAAGGGCAGGTACATCTTGATGAGGACACCCATAGTGGTGGTAGTTTAAAAGGGCAGGTACATCTTGATGAGGACACCCATAGTGGTGGTAGTTTAAAAGGGCAGGTACATCTTGATGACACCCATAGTGGTGGTAGTTTAAAAGGGCAGGTACATCTTGATGAGGACACCCATAGTGGTGGTAGTTTAAAAGGGCAGGTACATCTTGATGAGGACACCCATAGTAGTGGTAGTTTAAAAGGGCAGGCACATCTTGATGAGGACACCCATAGTGGTGGTAGTTTAAAAGGGCAGGTACATCTTGATGAGGACACCCAGAGTGGTGGTTGTTTAAGTGTGATGTAAGCCAGAGTTCTTTTGAGTATGTCTGAATGCGATGCAAGTCAGAGTCTTTTTGTATGTCTGAGTGTTATGTAAGCCAGAGTCAATTAGAATTTAGAGTATGTCTGAGTGTGATCTAAGCCAGAGTCCTTTAGAGTGAGTGTAATCTAAGCCAGCATCATTTAGAGTATGTCTGAGTATCCCTAATATGTGCTACCTTGTGACGTACATAAAACATTCAATACATAAAACATGAAAAGGTTAAACATGTGCAAATATTTTATTGATAGTTTGTGCCATACATGAACAGAAATGTGGAAATTGTTCAGTAAAATACTGTACACCAAAATTGAAATATGTAAATACACAACCAGTATTTTGTGTATTTATGAACAGATATATTGACATACCTATAACTCTTTTTTTTTTTATCAGTGTATTGGTCAACATAAATTCAAATTGTGACAAGGTCAGCATAAATTCAAATTGTGACGAGGTCAGCAAAGATTCAAATTGTGACAAGGTCAGCATTAATTCAAATTGTGACAAGGTCAGCAAAAATTCAAATTGTGACAAGGTCAGCATTAATTCAAATTGTGACAAGGTCTTGAATAAAAAAAAATAATTGTTTTTTGAAACATGTAAAATAATTAAATTCTCATTTTGCAAGATAAAATGGGATCTTAATAGTAATAATTAACTTTCAGTTCTTTCAGAATGAGCATATTGTGAAAATTTTGGGACCCAGTTTAATATTACTGGTTACCTTGACATAATTTTAGTGTAAGAATATTTTAAAATATTTGTAAGACTTGTAAGACAAAGAAGTGCAGTACACAAACAAAATAACAGATTTCAGAGGAAAGATATTAGAATATTTTATAATGAAAGTTATTTAAGAAGATGAAAAAAGTTTAGATTATTATCACAAACAAAAAGTTTAATAAATTGTTCATCATCAAGTAAAAATAGAAAAAAAACAGAACACAATGTTATGTAAATAAATATTGCAAAATGTACCGTAAATGTTAACATAATAAAATAATATAATAAAAGATCAACCTAAAAAATGAGGATTTTGTAAATTAAAATCAATTTCAGCTTAAAAATGAAAAATGAAACAAACAAAAACAATTGAGCCATTGGATAAGAAAATGTTTAGTCATACATTGAATACAAATTTGAAAATGGAAATTTGAATTATTGATTGGATTACATGGATCACTGACTAATTGTTCAGTTTGTAATTCCTTAAGACAATGGTAGAACTTTCAGGCAGAGACAGAAAGAGGACCAGATTTCATTAACATCTCTAAATCTATTTAATATAATTAAACAAAAGAAAACCTTTCAATAATTTGATTGATCACGTGACACTGTTTTTTATTTGGTAGTAATTTAAAAAATTTACAAATAAATTACTTTGGAAAGATGTTATAGTAGCGAGAACTCAGAAATCAAAATATGGCTTTTTCATTTATTTTTTTTAGCTGTTAGTGTTAAAGTTAATAAATGCAATTTTAAAAAAAAAAACTTCTTGACCTAATTTTCTCTTTCTAAACTTATGGCATAATCAGATTATATGAGTTATTTGTCTTCTACCTAAAAGTCTTGTCCTAAACTGACAATGTCACTTTTCACCTGTTGTGAATGTCCTATGTTCAGCTGGTGCTGTGGCCTACTTAGGAGGTGGGGCATTGTAGAGTTTAAGTCTGTACAACAGGTTGGTAAACTGTCCCAGGTCTATGACACCGTTCTCCCCACACGTCGTCTGAATGAAGAACTCCACTTCCTTGTCCGCCAGTTGACGACCAGTGGCAGTTTTGATCTCTTTCAAGCCAATCCTGGCCTCTTCAGCGTCTAGCTGACCACTGCCATCTTTGTCCAGCTCCTTGAATTTGTTGACTATTTCCTGGGCACTTAAATCAACATAGTATTATTTACTATTAGAGTGATCTACTTTATTATGTACTGGTCTATTACAAATGATTCATTTAAAAGCCCAGTCACTACATTATTCTTTAAAATCCCACTTACTACACATGATTTATTCACAAGCCCACAACACATGATTTATTTAAAATCACAATCACTACACATGATTCCTTTACAAGCCCACTCACTAAATGATTCCTTTACAAGCCCACTCACTACATGATTCATTTACAAGCCCACTCACTGCATGATTCCTTTACAAGCCCACTCACTACATGATTCATTTACAAGCCCACGCACTACACGATTCATTTACAAGCCCACTCACTACATGATTCATTTACAAGCCCACTCACTGCATGATTCATTTACAAGCCCACTCACTGCATGATTCATTTACAAGCCCACTCACTACATGATTCATTTACAAGCCCACTCACTACATGGTTCATTTACAAGCCCATTCACTACATGATTCATTTACAAGCCCACTCACTACATGATTCATTTACAAGCCCACTCGTTACACGATTCATTTACAAGCCCACTCACTACATGATTCGTATCTGACTAATCGGGTCCAGTCGGTTATTTCAAACGGCTTGACCTCGAAGAAATCTAATCTCGAATTTGGAGTACCCCAGGGCTCGGTCCTAGGCCCGATGCTTTTCACGATGTACATTCAGCCCCTGGGTGCAGAGATCAGGCAGTTTGACATGTTGTATCACATGTTCGCGGACGATACACAACTTCATCAATCCGTGATCACTTCTCAGTTCCCTCAGCTGCTCAGTATTACACAGAAAACAATGGAGTCGGTAAAGCACTGGATGACCATTAACAAGCTCAAATTAAATGATGATAAGACTGAGCTGCTCCCCATTGCGACCGCTCAGAAGCAGAAATCTGCACATAACACGACATCCATTACTCTCTCAGGTGTGCGTATTGAGTTAGCTCAAACAGTGCGGTACCTGGGTGTCTACCTAGATAGAAGACTAACTTTTGAAAGTCATATTAACATGCTATGCAGGGCGATTTTTCTGGAGCTGCGCAGGATTAGTCAAATCAGGCCCTTCCTAACAATTGATACAACAAAGAGGCTGATGTCTGCATTTGTGCTATCACGCATGGACTATTGCAATGCTCTCATGGTGGGTCTTCCAGCTACGCTCCTGGATAAAATTCAAATAGCACAGAATAATGCGGCTCGCATAGTTCTCCGCAAACGCAAATTCGACCATGCAAAAACACTTCTGAGAGAGTTGCATTGGCTGCCGGTGCGTGCTCGCATAGAGTACAAAATCGCAACTTTGTGCTACCGCTGCTTACATGACCTGGCGCCGTCCTACCTGAAAGAGCTGCTGACGCCTTATGTACCCAGTAGAGAGCTCCGCTCATCCGATAGTGGCAAACTCTCGACACCACGTGTTTGCCTTGAGACTTACGGAAAGCGCACTTTCGCATTTGCTGGTCCAACAATTTGGAACGCCCTTCCTGTCGATCTTAGAAACAACCAGACACTGGAGTCCTTTAAAACAGATCTAAAGACACATCTATTTCGCAAATACCTTCTGGGATGATTGTCTACCTTATTTTCCATGTGTTGCTGTGTTGCTTAGTGTTGAAATGGCCAGAAAGACTTTGATATTGTATGCTTGTAATTAGTTTTTGTAGTGTTGTGTTTGTTTTAAATGTGGTGAATTATAGATTGTTTTTTGTTGACTTTGTACCGCGCTTCGAGCCTTTGGGGATGAAGCGTGTTTTTTTTAAATGAACTTTATTATTATTATTATTATGATTCATTTACAAGCCCATTCACTACATGATTCATTTACAAGCCCACTCACTACATGATTCATTTACAAACCCACTCACTACATGATTCATTTACAAGCCCACTCACTACATGATTCATTTACAAGCCCACTCGTTACACGATTCATTTACAAGCCCACTCACTACATGATTCATTTACAAGCCCACTCACTGCATGATTCATTTACAAGCCCACTCACTACATGATTCATTTACAAGCCCACTCACTACATGATTCATTTACAAGCCCACTCACTACATGATTCATTTACAAGCCCATTCACTACATGATTCATTTACAAGCCCACTCACTACATGATTCATTTACAAGCCCACTCGTTACACGATTCATTTACAAGCCCACTCACTACATGATTCATTTACAAGCCCACTTACTGCATGATTCATTTACAAGCCCACTCACTACATGATTCATTTACAAGCCCATTCACTACATGATTCATTTACAAGCCCACTCACTACATGATTCATTTACAAGCCCACTCACTACATGATTCATTTACAAGCCCACTCAATACACGATTCATTTACAAGCCCACTCACTGCATGATTCATTTACAAGCCCACTCACTACACGATTCATTTACAAGCCCTCTCACTACATGATTCATTTACAAGCCCACTCACTGCATGATTCATTTACAAGGCCACTCACTACATGATTCATTTACAAGCCCATTCACTACATGATTCATTTACAAGCCCACTCACTACATGATTCATTTACAAGCCCACTCACTACATGATTTATTTACAAGCCCACTCACTACATGATTCATTTACAAGCTCACTCGTTACACGATTCATTTACAAGCCCACTCGTTACACGATTCATTTACAAGCCCGTCACACATGATTCATTATTATAATTAACCTTTGTTCCCAGGTTCCTTTTATGATTAAGTGTGTTAAGAATCTCTTAACATTTCACGAAACTTTTGCAACGCGTTTTAACATTGATATGGTGGCTACGTCTTTTGTCCATCCAGGGGCCTGTACTCGAGGGCCATGCAGGGGCCTGTACTCGAGGGCCATGCAGGGGCCTGTACTCGAGGGCCATGCAGGGCCTGTACTCGAGGGCCATGCAGGGGCCTGTACTCGAGGGCCATGCAGGGGCCTGTACTCGAGGGCCATGCAGGCGCCTGTACTCGAGAACCATGCAGGGGCCTGTACTCGAGAGCCATGCAGGGGCCTGTACTCGAGGGCCATGCAGGGGCCTGTACTTGAGAGCCATGCAGGGGCCTGTACTCGAGGGCCATGCAGGGGCCTGTACTCGAGGGCCATAAAGGGCCTGTACACACAGTTTCTCTAAATGATTATTATTTTTTCAGCCTGCCGCTACTCCAGCCATCTGCTCATGCAGGGGCCTGTACTCGAGGGCCATGCAGGGGCCTGTACTTGAGAGCCATGCAGGGGCCTGTACTCGAGGGCCATGCAGGGGCCTGTACTCGAGGGCCATAAAGGGCCTGTACACAAAGTTTCTCTAAATGATTATTATTTTTTCAGCCTGCCGCTAATCCAGCAATCTGCTCCTAATTCGGTAATGTGCCGCTAATCCAACAATCCGCCTTTAATCCTGCAATCTGCTGCTAATCCAGCAATCTGCTGCTAATCTGCAGCTAATCCATCAATATGCCACTAATCCAGTTATCTGCTGCTAATCCATCAATCTGCCGCTAATCCAGCAATGTGCTGCTAATCCAACAAAGTGATGATGATCCAGCAATCTGTCACTAATCCAGTAATCTGCCTGTAATCCAGCAATCTGCTGCTTTACCAACAATCTGCCGCTAATCCCGCAATCTACTGCTTATCTGCAGCTAATTTATCGATATGCAATTATTTCAGCAGTTTGCTCCTAATTCATCAATCTGCCGCTAATCCAGCAATCTGCTGCTAATCTGCAGCTAATCCATCAATATGCCACTAATCCAGCAATCTGCCGCTAATCAAGCAATCTGCCGCTAATCCAGCAATGTGCTGTTAATTCAGCATTACGCCGCTCATGCTAATACAGCAATCTGCCGCTAATCCAACAAAGTGCTATAGCACCAGTAATCTGCTGCTAATCCAACAATATGGTGCTAATCCAGCAATCTGCCGTTAATCCAGTTATATCTTCTTTTTCTTCTTATGCCTTTAACCCCGTCTGGGTCATAGGCCGTCCACAAGAATTTTCCATTCATCACGGCCCTGTGCTTTCCTTCCTGTGCTTTCCTTCCTGTGCTTTCCTTCATGTGCTTTCCTTCCTGTGCTTTCCTTCCTGTGCTTCCAGGTGTAGCCCATATTTTGCGTGCCATCCTCTAGCCCGCGTCTCAGTGTATTCTTTGGGCTTCATCTCTTTCTCTTTTCCTCTGGATTCCATGTTAGAGACTGTCTGGTGATGCTGTCTGGGGGTTTTCGGAGAGTATGCCCTATCCACCTCCATCTTCTCTTTATGATGTCTTCATAAATGTGCAACTGGTAAGTCCTTTCTAGTAGATCTTTTTTAGTTATAGTATTTGACCATTTGATGTTCAAGTTCTTTCTAAGGCATGTGTTTATGCAGGACTGTACTTTCTGCGTAATGAATCGGTGTTGTTTTCCAAGTTTATGCTCCATATAGTAGAACTATTTTGACATTAGAGTTAAAGATTCTGACTTTGGTTTGCAGCTTTAGCTCCTTCGACTCCCATATTTTCTTTAATAGCACTAATGCTGATCTAACTTTTCCAATTCTGGCCCTTACATCAACCTCCGATCCGCAATTTATATCGATGGTGCTGCCTAAGTATGTCAAGGTCTCCACTTCTTCCAGTGCCTTTCCTGCCAGAGAGATATGCTCTTGGTTGTATGAGTTTACCTTCATGATCTTCGTCTTGCTTTTATTTATATTGAGTCCGAGCTGTGCTGAAATGGTGGCTACGTCTTTTGTCTTTTCCTGCATTTGTTGCTGGTTGTGGGACAGAAGTGCAATGTCATCTGAAAGTCTAGGTCATTCAGTTGTTCCCAGATTGTCCACTGTATCCTGTTCCTCTTTTTGTCTGTGTTTTTTTTCATTATCCAGTCAATGGCAAGGATGAATAGAAAGGGGGACAAGAGACATCCTTGTCTGACTCCAGTTTCCACTTTAAAGTCATCTGTGAGTCTACCTTCGTGGACCACCCTGCAAGTAATTTCTTCATAGGAGCTCTGAATGATCCTGACTAGTTTCCTTGGTACTCCATAGTGCCGAAGAAGTTTCCACAAGGTTTGTCGGTCCAGGCTATCAAAGGCCTTTTCGTAGTCTATAAAATGTATGTATAGTGGAGAGCTCCATTCGACGGACTGTTCTACAATGATTCTTAGTGTTGCAATTTGATCTGTGCATGATCTGTTTCAACGGAAGCCAGCCTGATGATCTCGTAGCTGCATGTCGACCTGGTCTCCTATTCTATTTAAAATAATTCCGAATGATGGCCAGAGCTATTTCTACCTTGTTTGGTGCGCTTTCTTTGATTTGTAAGTCTTCATTTGCTGGTTGTCTGGTGTGTCTGTTGGTGGGGGTCTGTTTAATATTTCCCTAAAGTATTCCGCCATCTTTTTTGTTGTTCTTTCCTTTCCGTTATTGGTCTGCCTTTAATCCAGCAATCTGCTGCTAATCCAGCAATCTGCTGTCATCTGCCACGCAATCAAACACACATGATAAAAACATATGACTTTATTATCCCCCATACATTCATAAATACATTGAAAATATCCCATATATCCACACAATAAATTCACCAATCTCCCCTAAATATGGTTTGATACAAAATTCAGTGATCTCCCGTACATATACAACATATACAAAAGTGACTTACTGTTCTCCCATACATATATAAAAGTGACTTAATGTTCTCCCAAACATATATAAACGTGACTTACTGTTCTCCCATGCAGATACAAAATTGCTGAAACTCCCATATACTGAGTTTGCCGTTCTTATCTTTATCAAATGTGTTGAACATAACATCAGCTTCTTGATCATCTAGGCCAAACTCAGCCTGATTTGAAAAAGACAAAAAAAAAGCTCAAAACTTACGTCACAAATTAAGGAAAGTAAGCAACAATACTGATCTATGTTCACCAAGCAACAATACTGATCTATCGTTCACCAAGCAACAATACTGATCTATGTTCACCAAGCAACAATACTGATCTATGTTCACTAAGCAACAATACTGATCTATGTTCACTAAGCAACAATACTGATCTATGTTCACTAAGCAACAATACTGATCTATGTTCACTAAGCAACAATACTGATCTATGTTCACTAAGCAACAATACTGATCTATGTTCACCAAGCAACAATACTGATCTATGTTCACCAAGCAACAATACTGATCTATGTTCACCAAGCAACAATACTGATCTATGTTCACCAAGCAACAATACTGATCTATGTTCACTAAGCAACAATACTGATCTATGTTCACTAAGCAACAATACTGATCTATGTTCACTAAGCAACAATACTGATCTATGTTCACCAAGCAACAATACTGATCTATGTTCACCAAGCAACAATACTGATCTATGTTCACCAAGCAACAATACTGATCTATGTTCACTAAGCAACAATACTGATCTATGTTCACTAAGCAACAATACTGATCTATGTTCACCAAGCAACAATACTAATCTATGTTCACCAAGCAACAATACTAATCTATGTTCATGTTAGAAGAGCGATGCTTTCACTTACCTTCAACATGTCTACAGCATGAGCTTTGCTGAGCACTCTGACATTGTTTGCCACATACTTGTCGAACATCTTCATAATGTGGTCTCTGGAATTGTAGAAATGGAATTGTAAGACAGGGTATTGTAAGACATGGAATAGTAAGACATGGAATTGAAAGACATGGAATTGTAAGACCTGGAATTGTTAGACATGAAATTGAATGACATGGTATTGTTAGACAATGAACTGTAAGACAAGGCATTTAGTAAAGTAGAGAACTGTTTAGAGAAGTCATATAATTGGCGTAAAGACTAAACAACACTAAATAGAACCACACAACTCAGTTCTAAACACCATTAGATCGACACAATTCAGTTCTAAACACCATTAGATCGACACAGCTCGGTTCTAAACACCATTAGATCGACACAATTCAGTTCTAAACACCATTAGATCGACACAATTCAGTTCTAAACACCATTAGATCGACACAACTCAGTTCTAAACACCATTAGATCGACACAACTCAGTTCTAAACACCATTAGATCGACATAATTTAGTTCTGAACACCATTAGATCGACACAACTCAGTTCTAAACACCATTAGATCGACACAATTCAGTTCTAAACACCATTAGATCGACACAATTCAGTTCTAAACACCATTAGATCGACACAACTTAGTTCTAAACACCCTTAGATCGAGAAAATTCAGTTCTAAACACCATTAGATCGACACAATTCAGTCCTAAACACCATTAGATCGACACAATTCAGTTCTAAACACCATTAGATCGAAACAATTCAGTTCTAAACACCATTAGATCGACACAGCTCAGGTCTAAACACCACTAGATGCACACAACACTTGAAACTACTGTGTTGGTGAGAACATTAAATATGGATCTCTGGATCGCGTTCTACATTTTATTCTAAGAAACATTTCCCTATAATAAAAGTAAAGCAACATTTCCCTATAATAAAAGTAAAGCAACATTTCCCTATAATAAAAGTCAAGCAACATTTCCCTATAATAAAAGTCAAGCAACATTTCCCTATAATAAAAGTAAAGCAACATTTCCCTATAATAAAAGTAAAGCAACATTTCCCTATAATAAAAGTCAAGCAACATTTCCCTATAATAAAAGTCAAGCAACATTTCCCTATAATAAAAGTAAAGCAACATTTCCCTATAATAAAAGTAAAGCAACATTTCCCTATAATAAAAGTCAAGCAACATTTCCCTATAATAAAAGTCAAGCAACATTGTTCAATGTTTCAAAGTCACAGTTTGCTCAACAGTTTGTTACAAATCGTAGCCACAACTCTAAGCCCCAATCTTGTTGAAGGCGCTGAATTATTTTGCTCAATTTTGCTCTGGTAGTAGTTAGGGTAGTGGTGATGGTAGAGGTGGTAGTAGTAAACAATCTGCCAGTAGGTCTGGTGGTAGTACACAATTTGTCAGTAGCTCTAATAGTAGTACACAAGCTGTCAGTAGCTCTGGTAGTACACAAGTTGTCAGTAGCTCTGGTGGTAGTATACAAGCTGTTAGTAGCTCTGGTAGTACACACGTTGTCAGTAGCTATAATAGTAGTACTCAAGCTGTTAGTAGCTCTGGTAGTACACAAGTTGTCAGTAGCTATAATAGTAGTACTCAAGCTGTCAGTAGCTCTGGTAGTACACAAGTTGTCAGTAGCTATAATAGTAGTACTCAAGCTGTTAGTAGCTCTGGTAGTACACAAGTTGTCAGTAGCTATAATAGTAGTACTCAAGCTGTCAGTAGCTCTGGTAGTACACAAGCTGCCAAAAGCTTTTAAGTCACGACCACATTTATATACAATCAAAGTAAGCCAATAATGCCCCATTTATATAGAATTAAAGTGACATACAGCCTCCATAACACATTCATGTAGAATCAAAGTGACAGAATACCTCCATACCAAATTCGTAAAAAATCAAAGTGACAGAATACCTCCATACCACATTTATATAGAATCAAAGTGACAGAATACCTTCATACCACATTTATATAGAATCAAAGTGACAGAATACCTCCATACCACATTTATATAGAATCAAAGTGAAAGAATACCTCCATACCACATTTATATAGAATCAAAGTGGCAGATTAACGCGATATCTGTTAGGATTGGAAACTTCAAAGTGTTGAAGTCTTATCCGACTTTTGCTTGACAAAAATGCAATCTTCAATGACAAGGGCAATTGACAAAAATATAATCTATTACTAAGGCTATTAACAAGCATAATATCACCTATAACAAAGACTGTTGCGAATGTCGATCGCAAACACCGCACTTTAAATCAGAGATATTTGCGATGCGTCGTTGGTATTTAATGGAAACACTATCAAATTATTTAAGATTCTAAAATATATGCACACACTGCCAAAATTTAAAAAAGGCAAACAAAACAAGAAAATGGATTCCTGTGGACAACTGAACATTATGAAAAATTCATTGTTCTGCTAAGTGAGTGACCTATTCATCTCTTAAACCAGGGTCTAAAACTCGTGGTCCGTGGTCATTTGAGGCCCGTAAGATGATATTTTCCTTCCCGATGCCGTACAGCAAATATTAGTGTTAGTGCAGCCCGCGATTTTCCCCCAATCTCAAATCTCTAACGTGACCCTCCGCGACGGTTTCAGTCGAACCTCACCGACTTGTCTAATTCTGATGTCTATTATGTAAGCATACATTCATCTATTACAAGGTTAAAGCAAGGAAAAATGAAGGAAGTGAACAAGCTAGACATAATAATTTTTCTCCTGCAAATGCAGAGATGCCGGTACTGGAGTCACTTTTATCCCATTTTCCCGGGAAGAACAAATCCTAGGGAAATGAGAATCCCTGGGAAATGAGAAACCCTGGGAAATGAGAAACCCTAGGAAATGAGAAACCCTGGGAAATGAGAAACCCTGGGAAATGAGAAACCCTGGAAAAAGAGAATCCCTGGGAAATGAGAAACCCTGGGAAATGAGAATCCCGGGGAAATGAGAAACCCTGGGAAATGAGAAACCCTGGGAACTGAGAAACCCTGGGAAATGAGAAACCCTGGTTCTCCCAACCCAACTCGAAATACTCATGGGTTTTTTGTCTAGTTTCATAATTATTGGCTCGATGTTTCTGTGACAATAAGTATAACTAACATCAAACATATAGGTACATTTTTCCGTGACATCAAGTATTAATAACATCAAACATGTAGGTACATGTTTCTGTGACATCAAGTATTACTAACATCAAACATGTAGGTACATGTTTCTGTGACATCAAGTATTACTAACATCAAACATATAGGTACATGTTTCTGTGACATCAAGTATTACTAACATCAAACATATAGGTACATGTTTCTGTGACATCAAGTATAACTAACATCAAACATATAGGTACATGTTTCTGTGACATCAAGTATAACTAACATCAAACATATAGGTACATGTTTCTGTGACATCAAGTATTACTAACATCAAACATATAGGTACATGTTTCTGTGACATCAAGTATTAATAACATCAAACATATAGGTACATGTTTCTGTGACATCAAGTATTACTAACATCAAACATGTAGGTACATGTTTCTGTGACATCAAGTATTACTAACATCAATCATGTAGGTACATGTTTCTGTGACATCAAGTATTACTAACATCAAACATATAGGTACATGTTTCTGTGACATCAAGTATTACTGACATCAAACATGTAGGTACATGTTTCTGTGACATCAAGTATTAATAACATCAAACATGTAGGTACATGTTTCTGTGACATCAAGTATAACTAACATCAAACATATAGGTACATGTTTCTGTTACATCAAGTATTACTAACATCAAACATATAGGTTGATGTTTCTGTGACAGGTAATATTATTAATATCCATCATGCAGGTATATGTTTTTATGGCAGGTAATATCCATCATATAGCTACATGTTTCTATGGCATGTAATATCCATCACATAGATGCAGAAACATACTGCGTTCTTTCTTTAAAGAGATAAGAGCCTACAGGTAAAAGTAGGTCATTTCTTCATGGGACTTTACACGTGAAACATGTTCAACTTCCAGGTCAAATCTACCCGTAATGCTGGTGAATAACGATTAAATGAAGTGCGTCTGCTCAATGCCGAAAAACAAAATGTATATTAACAAAAGATGAAGAAGCTTTCTGTGTTCACCTGCAGCACCTGATAGGTGTAGCAGAACGTTGTTTTTTTTAAGAGTACTAAGCTGAACCTCTTGTGTCTAGCTGTAATGGTTCTTGCCCCCCACCCCATCTTGTTTCTAGCTGTAATGGTTCTTGCCCCCCACCCCATCTTGCTTCTAGCTGTAATGGTTCTTGCCCCCCACCCCATCTTGCTTCTAGCTGTAATGGTTCTTGCCCCACCCCATCTTGTTTCTAGCTGTAATGGTTCTTGCCCCCCCCCCCCCATCTTGTTTCTAGCTGTAATGGTTCTTGCCCCACCCCATCTTGTTTCTAGCTGTAATGGTTCTTGCCCGCCCCACCCCATCTTGTTTCTAGCTGTAATGGTTCTTGCCCCACCCCATCTTGTTTCTAGCTGTAATGGTTCTTGCCCCACCTCTTGTTTCTAAGCTGTAATGGTTCTTGCCCCACCTCTTGTTTCTAAGCTGTAATGGTTCTTGCCCCACCCCATCTTGTTTCTAGCTGTAATGGTTCTTGCCCCCCACCCTATCTTGTTTCTAAGCTGTTATGGCTCTTGCCCCACCCCATCTTGTTTCTAGCTGTAATGGTTCTTGCCCCACCCCATCTTGTTTCTAGCTGTAATGGTTCTTGCCCCCCACCCCATCTTGTTTCTAAGCTGTTATGGCTCTTGCCCCACCCCATCTTGTTTCTAGCTGTAATGGTTCTTGCCCCACCCCATCTTGTTTCTAGCTGTAATGGTTCTTGCCCCACCTCTTGTTTCTAAGCTGTAATGGTTCTTGCCAAACCTCTTGTTTCTAAGCTGTAATGGTTCTTGCCCCACCTCTTGTTTCTAAGCTGTAATGGTTCTTGCCCCACCTCTTGTTTCTAAGCTGTAATGATTCTTGCCCCACCCCATTTTGGGTCTCTTCACAAAGAAATTCTTGTTTTAAAGATGACGATAGTCTAGCATTTAAGAAAAAGAAACTGCAGTTATCGTGACATTGTTGTCTGATACCACTTGGTTGGCGGTGGTCTGATACCACATGGTTGGCGGTTGTCTGATACCACTTGGTTGGCGGTGGTCTAATCCTTGCTAGATACCACATGGTTTGCGGTTGTCTGATACCACATGGTTGGCGGTGGTCTGATACCACATGGTTGGCGGTGGTCTGATACCACATGGTTGGCGGTGGTCTGCTACCACTTGGTTGGCGGTGGTCTAATCCTTGCTAGATACCACATGGTTGGCGGTGGTCTGATACCACATGGTGGGCGGTGGTCTGATACCACATGGTTGGCGGTGGTCTGATACCACATGGTTGGCGGTGGTCTAATCCTTGCTAGATACCACATGGTTGGCGGTTGTCTGATACCACATGGTTGGGGGTGGTCTGATACCACATGGTTGGCGGTGGTCTAATCGCTGCTAAATACCACATGGTTGGCGGTGGTCTAATAGCTGCTAAATACCACATGGTTGGCGGTGGTATAATCGCTGCTAAATACCACATGGTTGGCGGTGGTCTAATCGCTGCTAAATACCACATGGTTGGCGGTGGTATAATCGCTGCTAAATACCACATGGTTGGCGGTGGTATAATCGCTGCTAAATACCACATGGTTGGCGGTGGTCTAATCGCTGCTAAATACCACATGGTTGGCGGTTGTCTAATCCTTGCTAGATACCACATGGTTGGCGGTGGTCTAATCGCTGCTAAATACCACATGGTTGGCGGTGGTATAATCCTTGCTACATACCACATGGTTGGCGGTGGTCTAATCCTTGCTACATACCACATGGTTGGCGGTGGTCTAATCCTTGCTACATACCACATGGTTGGCGGTGGTATAATCCTTGCTACATACCACATGGTTGGCGGTGGTCTAATCCTTGCTAGATACCACATGGTTGGCGGTGGTCTAATCCTTGCTAGATACCACATGGTTGGCGGTGGTCTCATCCTTGCTAGATACCACATGGTTGGCGGTGGTCTAATCGCTGCTAAATACCACATGGTTGACGGTGGTTTAATCCTTACTACATACCACATGGTTGGCCGTGGTTAAATCAATGCTAGATACAACAAGGTTGACGGTGGTTAAATCAATGCTAGATACCACATGTTTGGCCGTGGTTAAATCAAATCTAGATACCACATGTTTGGCCGTGGTTAAATCAATGCTATATACAAAAGGGTTGGCCGTGGTTAAATCATTGCTAGATACCACATGGTTGGCAGTGGTTAAATTAATGCTAGATACCACAAGGTTGACGGTGGTTAAATCAATGCTAGATACCACATGGTTGATGGTGGTTAAATAGCTGATTGATTTTGCTCCAAATAGGCAGTTGATGACTGGTTTTGTTCAAATAGACAGTTGATGACTGGTTGTATAACAAATAGGCAGTTGATGACTGGTTGTATAACAAATAGGCAGTTGATGACAGGTTGTATTACAAATAGACAGTTGATGACTGGTTGCGTTACAAATAGCCATTTGATGACTGGTTGTGTTACAAATAGTTAGTTGATGACTGGTTGAGTTACAAATAGACAGTTGATGATTGGTTGTGTGACAAATGGTCCCTTCCCTTCTAGCAATGGAAATCATCTTTAGCGCTAAGAGCTGGGGTCTCCTCTGAATCATTTCTCGGGAGCATGTCCAACATATCTGACAGACGAATTCCTGGATTTGATTGCCACAGCTACCAACGAGGCACAGAGCGCGTGCTACTTTATTACCACCATCTAGTTTTACCGTATTACCATTATCTTGTGGCATATAGCAACATCTAAGAAAAAACTTATAACTATCAAGTTCCACAAATAGGTTTTTAAAAATTGTAACCACATTGATTATAACACCTAAATGTTTCATAGTGTAACCACTTTGATTATAAAACTTAAATGTTTCATAGTGTAACCACTTTGATTATAAAACCTAAATGTTTCATAGTGTAACCACTTTGATTCATCATGTAAACAATGTATTTCTCCATATAACCGATACGTTAGTTGCTCTTGAAATTAATGAAATAGACTTAGATTCAGAATACTAACTATGGAGAAGTTTAAGACAAAGTATTTTAACATTGAGGTAAATATGAATCACAACTTTGCTATCTCATCAATCAAAAGAATGCACAGACTACATTTCCTGCCAAGGACATTTCTTTAGATATTAGTTTCTGTTTGTTTGTTGTTTAACGTTCGTGTGTGTTTTTGTGGCAATAAAAATCAATAAATGTGTGTTTGTTGCAATAGGAATCAATAAATGTGTATTTGTTGCAATAAGAATCAATAAATGTGTTTTTGTTGCAATAGGAATCAATTAATGTGTGTTTGTTGCAATAAGAATCAATAAATGTGTGTTTGTTGCAATAGGAATCAATTAATGTGTGTTTGTTGCAATAGGAAACAATTAATGTGCGTTTGTTGCAATAGGAATCAATATATTTGTGTTTGTTGCAATAAGAATCAATAAATGTGTGTTTGTTGCAATAAGAATCAATAAATGTGTGTTTGTTGCATGAAGAATCAATAAATTTGTGTTTGTTGCAATAAGAATCAATAAATGTGTGTTTGTTGCAATAAGAATAAATAAATGTGTGTTTGTTGCAATAAGAATCAATTAATCTGTGTTTGTTGCAATAGGAATCAATAATTGTGTGTTTAAAACACTAATCGTTTAATATTTCGACTGCAATCATTATAAATGAACATTAACCATAGTTCGCACACAATTTTTCTTTGAAAATTTTAATAAACACTTACGGGACTTTTCGATTCATTCCAAAAATTTGGTTTATTTCCAATAATTAGGTGTTCTTTTCCAATAATTACGTTTTCTTTACCAAATCTTCCAGCAAATTTGAGATCAATCTGAATCCAAATCTGTAAAACAAATATATATATATAAAAATAATAGCATATTCAGTAATCATCCTACGAGGAAGTGTGTCATTAGTGACAATGCCAATAGCTTGGAGTAGCATACCTAGGAGGGTTAGCAAAACAAAATATAATGTCCTAAAATCAATTTGAGCCCAGGTTCTATGAAATGACCATCAACTTCATCTTTTCTTTATTTGAGATGTAACAAATTCTAGTTAGCTTTTCCTCAACTAGTGTGACCAAAGAACAGGATCAACTAGTGTGACCAAAGAACTGGATCAACAAGTGTGACCAAAGAACAGGATCAACTATTGTGACCAAAGAACAGGATCAACTACTGTGACCAAAGAACAGGATCAACTACTGCGACCAAAGAACGGGATCAACTACTGTGACCAAAGAACAGGATCAACTACTGCGACCAAAGAACAGGATCAACTACTGCGACCAAAGAACAGGATCAACTAGTGTGACCAAAGAACTGGATCAACAAGTGTGACCAAAGAACGGGATCAACTACTGCGACCAAAGAACGGGATCAACTACTGTGACCAAAGAACAGGATCAACTACTGCGACCAAAGAACAGGATCAACTACTGCGACCAAAGAACAGGATCAACTAGTGTGACCAAAGAACTGGATCAACAAGTGTGACCAAAGAACGGGATCAACTACTGCGACCAAAGAACGGGATCAACTACTGTGACCAAAGAACAGGATCAACTACTGTGACCAAAGAACAGGATCAACTATTGTGACCTAAAGTCCTTTGCCCTGAACCGCTACAGAAATAACTCTAGTGTTGGGAGCATGCTGGAAACACTTGGCTGGTCACCATTGGAGGAACGAGGACTATCCAGGCTCTCGATGATGTACAAGATAAATAATGGTCAGGTCCAATGCTCCAGTATTAAACAGAAACTCGTCCCTCTCCCCCATAGACAGCGACGAGGCCATGACAAGCAGTTCCGGCACATACCAGTAGAAGCCAGTACAGGAACTGCTTATTCCTGCTAAAGACAGTCAGGGTCTGGAACAAGCTTCCAAAAGGAACAATTGAAGTTCAACACACCTAAAACATTTGCGTCTATTGCCTCAGGCTTTCCGACCCCCAGTTCATAATACACTCACAAAGTAGCCCTTGCAACCAGTGAAATATACTCTTCAATACCAGGCACAGAAAAATTGCAAATCCCCTATACATGCATAGGAGCAAGAATTATCGTGGTCCCCCCACCCCCACATACACACTTTTTCCCGCCCCCCCCACCACCTTCCCCCAACCAATCACACAAAAAAAACACACAAACACACAAAACTGTGACGCAAGGTTGGAGTCCGACAATTTCTTACTATTAACCCCAACGCTAAATTTCTTACTACTAACTTCAACGCTAAATTTCTAGGACCTTGTCTCAAAAGCTTGATTTCGAAACAGGGCGACTTGAAACCCTAATACAACACAAAGTACTAAATCGATAACAAGCTTCATAACCACAAGCATTTTAAACATACTAATAAATTGATGAAAATGTCCCTCCATTTCTACATTCATACCATCTGCTAGCAGTTTAACGTTACACTTGCCTGGTAGCGTTGTTCCAATTGTTACATCAGTGAAGTCCGGGCACACTACAGGAACTCACAGTTGGTACGTAACTTGTAGCGTCTGCTCAATCTCTTCAATGTGACTACAACAGGCGTAGACTTATCACTAGCGGTGTGGAACCTCGCTTCTTCTACGTTCGAGTAAGAGGAGAGGAGCGAGTGGCTGTGGGTTAAATAGATTGTGTGCGTGTGGGGGGCGGGGGGGGGGGGGGGTGAGGAAAGGGGGGGGGTGGGGGGGGGGGGGGGGGGGGGCGCTGACGTTAGCACGTGTAGGCAGGGGCAGGTAATACAACATAAAAAATATTGAGGTGCAAGTACGATATACCGCGAATATCAAATGTGTTTCTTCTATTTCACTTAGTGTAAGTTATGAGGTATATCGCTTAGAGTAAGTTATGGAGTATATCGCTTAGTGTAATTTATGGGTATATCGATTAGTATAAGTGATGGGGTATTTCACTTGGTGTAAGTTATGAGGTATATCGCTTGGTATAAGTTATAGGGTAATTCACTTAGTGTAAGTTATGGGTTAAATCGCTTTGTATAAGTTATGGTTCGTCAGGCAATTGGGGAGTATGATGACCTACTGGTGACTGTGAAAAAATGCAAACTACAATGGTACGGCCACGTAACAAGGAAACAAGGGCTTGCCAACGAAATATTGCAGGGCACCACAAGAGGAGGGAGAAGAAGAGGAAGACAAAGAAAAAGGTGGGAGGATAACATCAAAGAGTGGACAGGACTAACACTGGGCGATGCAGTGCCTAGTGCTGAAGACAGAGACGAATGGAGGAGGATGGTTCACATGTCATCTGTGGCGCCCCAACGCTCCAAGGACGAAGGGACATGATGATGATGATAAGTTATGGGGTATTTCACTTAGTATAAGTTATGGGGTATTTCACTTAGTGTAAGTTATGGGGTATATCGCTTAGTGTAAGTTATGGGGTATATCGCTTAGTGTAAGTTATGGGGTATATCGCTTAGTGTAAGTTATGGGGTATGACCGGTTACATGATAAATAAGGTTGTTGTCTTGGTCAGAAGAATCATGTCTGGTCCCTGATGGTTTCATTCCTTGAGTGCATTGAGCGCATTGAGTGCATTGAGTGCAATGAGTGCATTGAGTGCATTGAGCGCATTGAGGGCATTGAGTGCATTGAGTGCATTGAGTGCATTGAGCGCATTGAGCGCATTGAGTGCATTGAGCGCATTGAGTGCATTGAGTGCATTGAGTGCATTGAGCGCATTGAGTGCATTGAGTGCACCCAAGTGAACAAAACTAAAGATACCGGTACACTGTGAGGCAGATTTCGAAGATTGTCAAGAACGCATTTTTACATCAAGAACAGTAATCAGCATAATGATCTGGGCAAATAAAATACATTATCTCATGACCATTACACAATATAATGGTGTGAGACTCAGTGAAAAAAAAAATTAATCTCAAGACAAGTACTCAACACAGTGGTACGAGTGAAATAAAATTAGTTATCTCAAGAAGATTACTCAAGATAATGGTCTGAGTCAAATTAAATGGTAGCGTGTCACTGAGACAATTCAGCCTCTCTTTATACTCGCATATTCCAGTAAAAGTTCAGGTATTTTCACACATTTTTTTAAAGCAAGCACAGGACCATCATTATATAAGAAATATAGCTTCAATGGCCCTAAATATAGTTTCGATGCTATCTTAACTGTCATTATTGCTGAATCTATGAACTGGCATTTGTGCAACGGTTGGGGGTGCATGGGATGCTGGTATTTTAACGGCTTCTAGCGGCTTTTAGTTTATGAAATAAAGGAGAAAATGCGTTTCCATACGTATCACTAGACCAATATCACTAGACCAGTAACTCACCTCAGTTTTGCCCCTTTCAAAACATTCAAACACACGTGCCAACTTAAGACACATCCCTGATGCTCCCTGCTTGATTATTTTCTTTCGTTCTGCACTTGCTGAACTTGAAATTTGGGGGGGGGGGGGGGGGGGGTTGGTATTTGCTTTACATCAAATTGATTAAATTTTAGAGGGATGCCCTGTTGCCCTGTTGTCCTGTTGCCCTGATGTCCTGTTGCCCTGTTGCCCTGTTGTCCTGTTGCCATGTTGCCCAGTTGTCCTGTTGTCCTGTTGCCCTGTTGTCCTGATGCCCTGTTGTCAACACATTATATTTGTCAGCTAATAGGGTCAGCTTGCAGTGAAGTATTTCTGTGTACCGGTACCGGTACTAGATCGGGGATTCAGACCGGGAATTCAATTTGTCCGGGTCGCGAAGTGAATTTGAAGTAACAGAATGAGTGTCTGTGCGTAGTATGCATGTTACAACTGTGCACGGCGCTTCCAAAAGAGGTAGAATAAGAAATAGGAACAGAACCCTCTTTTAGAAGTTCGGGTCAGTAACAACTATAAATATACGGATTCTGTTGGTCAACTAGGCCTACTGAAGTTTGATAGGTTCTGTTTGTCAACTAGGCCTACTGAAGTTTGATAGGTTATGTATGTCAACTAGGCCTACTGAAGTTTGATAGGTTATGTTGTCAACTAGACCTACTGAAGTTTGATAGGTTATGTTTGTCAACTAGGCCTACTGAAGTTTGATAGGTTATGTTTGTTAACTACACCTACTGAAGTTTGTTAGGTTATGTATGTCAACTAGGCCTACTGAAGTTTGATAGGTTATCTTTGTCAACTAGGCCTACTGAAGTTTGATAGGTTATGTTTGTCAACTAGACCTACTGAAGTTTGATAGGTTATGTTTGTTAACTAGACCTACTGAAGTTTGATAGGTTCTGTTTGTCAACTAGGCCTACTGAAGTTTGATAGGTTATGTTTGTCAACTAGGCCTACTGAAGTTTGATAGGTTATGTTTGTCAACTAAGCCTACTGAAGTTTGATAGGTTATGATTGTCAACTAGACCTACTGAAGTTTGATAGGTTATGTTTGTTAACTAGACCTACTGAAGTTTGATAGGTTATGTTTGTCAACTAGGCCTACTGAAGTTTGATAGGTTATGTATGTCAACTAGGCCTACTGAAGTTTGATAGGTTCTGTTTGTCAACTAGGCCTACTAAAGTTTGATAGGTTATGATTGTCAACTAGGCCTACTGAAGTTTGATAGGTTCTGTTTGTCAACTAGGCCTACTGAAGTTTGATAGGTTATGATTGTCAACTAGGCCTACTAAAGTTTGATAGGTTATGTTTGTCAACTAGGCCTACTAAAGTTTGATAGGTTATGATTGTCAAATAGGCCTACTGAAGTTTGATAGGTTATGTTTGTCAACTAGGCCTACTGAAGTTTGATAGGTTATTTTTGTCAACTAGGCCTACTGAAGTTTGATAGGTTCTGTTGGTAAACTAGGCCTATTGAAGTTTGATAGGTTATGTTTGTCAACTAGGCCTACTAAAGTTTGATAGGTTATGTTTGTCAACTAGGCCTACTAAAGTTTGATAGGTTATGATTGTCAACTAGGCCTACTGAGGTTTGATAGGTTCAGTTTGTCAACTAGGCCTACTGAAGTTTGATAGGTTCTGTTGGTAAACTAGGCCTACTGAAGTTTGATAGGTTCTGTTGGTAAACTAGGCCTCCTGAAAGTTTGATAGGCTATGTTTTTCAACTAGGACTACTGAAGTTTGATAGGTTATGTTTGTTAACTAGACCTACTGAAGTTTGATAGATTATGTTTGTCAACTAGGCCTACTGAAGTTTGATAGGTTCTGTTGGTAAACTAGGCCTATTGAAGTTTGATAGGTTATGTTTGTCAACTAGGCCTACTAAAGTTTGATAGGTTATGTTTGTCAACTAGGCCTACTAAAGTTTGATAGGTTATGATTGTCAACTAGGCCTACTGAGGTTTGATAGGTTCAGTTTGTGAACTAGACCTACTGAAGTTTGATAGGTTATGTTTGTCAACTAGGCCTACTAAAGTTTGATAGGTTATGATTGTCAACTAGGCCTACTGAAGTTTGATAGGTTCTGTTTGTCAACTAGGCCTACTTAAGTTTGATAGGTTATTTTTGTCAACTAGGCCTACTGAAGTTTGATAAATTTTGTTTGTCAACTAGGCCTACTGAAGTATTATAGGTTATGTTTGTCAACTAGGCCTACTGAAGTTTGATAAGTTATGTTTGTTGACTAGACCTACTGTAGTTTTTTAGGTTATGTTTGTCAACTAGGCCTACTGAAGTTTGATAGGTTATGTTTGTCAACTAGGCCTACTAAAGTTTGATAGGTTATGTTTGTTAACTAGACCTACTGAAGTTTGTTAGGTTCTGTTTGTCAACTAGGCCTACTGAAGTTTGATAGGTTATGTTTGTCAACTAGGCCTACTGAAGTTTGATAGGTTATGTTTGTCAACTAGGCCTACTGAAGTTTGATAGGTTATGTTTGTCAACTAGGCCTACTGAAGTTTGATAGGTTATGTTTGTCAACTAGGCCTACTGAAGTTTGATAGGTTATGTTTGTCAACTAGGCCTACTGAAGTTTGATAGGTTATGTTTGTCAACTAGGCCTACTGAAGTTTGATAGGTTATGTTTGTCAACTAGGCCTACTGAAGTTTGATAGGTTATGTTTGTCAACTAGGCCTACTGAAGTTTGATAGGTTATGTTTGTCAACTAGGCCTACTGAAGTTTGATAGGTTATGTTTGTCAACTAGGCCTACTGAAGTTTGATAGGTTATGTTTGTCAACTAGGCCTACTGAAGTTTGATAGGTTATGTTTGTCAACTAGGCCTACTGAAGTTTGATAGGTTATGTTTGTCAACTAGGCCTACTGAAGTTTGATAGGTTATGTTTGTCAACTAGGCCTACTGAAGTTTGATAGGTTATGTTTGTCAACTAGGCCTACTGAAGTTTGATAGGTTATGTTTGTCAACTAGGCCTACTGAAGTTTGATAGGTTATGTTTGTCAACTAGGCCTACTGAAGTTTGATAGGTTATGTTTGTCAACTAGGCCTACTGAAGTTTGATAGGTTATGTTTGTCAACTAGGCCTACTGAAGTTTGATAGGTTATGTTTGTCAACTAGGCCTACTGAAGTTTGATAGGTTATGTTTGTCAACTAGGCCTACTGAAGTTTGATAGGTTATGTTTGTCAACTAGGCCTACTGAAGTTTGATAGGTTATGTTTGTCAACTAGGCCTACTGAAGTTTGATAGGTTATGTTTGTCAACTAGGCCTACTGAAGTTTGATAGGTTCTGTTTGTCAACTAGGCCTACTGAAGTTTGATAGGTTATGTTTGTCAACTAGGCCTACTGAAGTTTGATAGGTTATGTTTGTCAACTAGGCCTACTGAAGTTTGATAGGTTATGATTGTCAACTAGGCCTACTAAAGTTTGATAGGTTATGTTTGTCAACTAGGCCTACTAAAGTTTGATAGGTTATGATTGTCAACTAGGCCTACTGAAGTTTGATAGGTTATGTTTGTCAACTAGGCCTACTGAAGTTTGATAGGTTATTTTTGTCAACTAGGCCTACTGAAGTTTGATAGGTTCTGTTGGTAAACTAGGCCTATTGAAGTTTGATAGGTTATGTTTGTCAACTAGGCCTACTAAAGTTTGATAGGTTATGTTTGTCAACTAGGCCTACTAAAGTTTGATAGGTTATGATTGTCAACTAGGCCTACTGAGGTTTGATAGGTTCAGTTTGTCAACTAGGCCTACTGAAGTTTGATAGGTTCTGTTGGTAAACTAGGCCTACTGAAGTTTGATAGGTTCTGTTGGTAAACTAGGCCTCCTGAAAGTTTGATAGGCTATGTTTTTCAACTAGGACTACTGAAGTTTGATAGGTTATGTTTGTTAACTAGACCTACTGAAGTTTGATAGATTATGTTTGTCAACTAGGCCTACTGAAGTTTGATAGGTTCTGTTGGTAAACTAGGCCTATTGAAGTTTGATAGGTTATGTTTGTCAACTAGGCCTACTAAAGTTTGATAGGTTATGTTTGTCAACTAGGCCTACTAAAGTTTGATAGGTTATGATTGTCAACTAGGCCTACTGAGGTTTGATAGGTTCAGTTTGTGAACTAGACCTACTGAAGTTTGATAGGTTATGTTTGTCAACTAGGCCTACTAAAGTTTGATAGGTTATGATTGTCAACTAGGCCTACTGAAGTTTGATAGGTTCTGTTTGTCAACTAGGCCTACTTAAGTTTGATAGGTTATTTTTGTCAACTAGGCCTACTGAAGTTTGATAAATTTTGTTTGTCAACTAGGCCTACTGAAGTATTATAGGTTATGTTTGTCAACTAGGCCTACTGAAGTTTGATAAGTTATGTTTGTTGACTAGACCTACTGTAGTTTTTTAGGTTATGTTTGTCAACTAGGCCTACTGAAGTTTGATAGGTTATGTTTGTCAACTAGGCCTACTAAAGTTTGATAGGTTATGTTTGTTAACTAGACCTACTGAAGTTTGTTAGGTTCTGAAACAGTTGATCCGGATGACTTCAAACTATCCAATATTTTGTCAACTAGGCCTACTGAAGTTTGATAGGTTCTGTTGGTAAACTAGGCCTATTGAAGTTTGATAGGTTATGTTTGTCAACTAGGCCTACTAAAGTTTGATAGGTTATGTTTGTCAACTAGGCCTACTAAAGTTTGATAGGTTATGATTGTCAACTAGGCCTACTGAGGTTTGATAGGTTCAGTTTGTCAACTAGGCCTACTGAAGTTTGATAGGTTCTGTTGGTAAACTAGGCCTACTGAAGTTTGATAGGTTCTGTTGGTAAACTAGGCCTCCTGAAAGTTTGATAGGCTATGTTTTTCAACTAGGACTACTGAAGTTTGATAGGTTATGTTTGTTAACTAGACCTACTGAAGTTTGATAGATTATGTTTGTCAACTAGGCCTACTGAAGTTTGATAGGTTCTGTTGGTAAACTAGGCCTATTGAAGTTTGATAGGTTATGTTTGTCAACTAGGCCTACTAAAGTTTGATAGGTTATGTTTGTCAACTAGGCCTACTAAAGTTTGATAGGTTATGATTGTCAACTAGGCCTACTGAGGTTTGATAGGTTCAGTTTGTGAACTAGACCTACTGAAGTTTGATAGGTTATGTTTGTCAACTAGGCCTACTAAAGTTTGATAGGTTATGATTGTCAACTAGGCCTACTGAAGTTTGATAGGTTCTGTTTGTCAACTAGGCCTACTTAAGTTTGATAGGTTATTTTTGTCAACTAGGCCTACTGAAGTTTGATAAATTTTGTTTGTCAACTAGGCCTACTGAAGTATTATAGGTTATGTTTGTCAACTAGGCCTACTGAAGTTTGATAAGTTATGTTTGTTGACTAGACCTACTGTAGTTTTTTAGGTTATGTTTGTCAACTAGGCCTACTGAAGTTTGATAGGTTATGTTTGTCAACTAGGCCTACTAAAGTTTGATAGGTTATGTTTGTTAACTAGACCTACTGAAGTTTGTTAGGTTCTGTTTGTCAACTAGGCCTACTGAAGTTTGATAGGTTATGTTTGTCAATTAGGCCTACTGAAGTTTGATAGGTTATGTTTGTCAACTAGGCCTACTGAAGTTTGATAGGTTATGTTTGTCAACTAGGCCTACTGAAGTTTGATAGGTTATGTTTGTCAACTAGGCCTACTGAAGTTTGATAGGTTATGTTTGTCAACTAGGCCTACTGAAGTTTGATAGGTTATGTTTGTTAACTAGACCTACTGAAGTTTGATAGGTTATGTTTGTCAACTAGGCCTACTGAAGTTTGATAGGTTATGTATGTCAACTAGGCCTACTGAAGTTTGATAGGTTCTGTTTGTCAACTAGGCCTACTGAAGTTTGATAGGTTATGATTGTCAACTAGGCCTACTGAAGTTTGATAGGTTCTGTTTGTCAACTAGGCCTACTGAAGTTTGATAGGTTATTTTTGTCAACTAGGCCTACTGAAGTTTGATAGGTTCTGTTTGTCAACTAGGCCTACTGAAGTTTGATAGGTTATGTTTGTCAACTAGGCCTACTGAAGTTTGATAGGTTATGTTTTTCAACTAGGCCTACTGAAGTTTGATAGGTTATGTTTGTCAACTAGGCCTACTGAAGTTTGATAGGTTATGTTTGTCAACTAGGCCTACTGAAGTTTGATAGGTTATGTTCGTCAGATAATTTGGTGTGTTTGGTAATCATCGCATTTTGATAATAGCCTTATATTTATTTTAAAAGAAATACAAGATACTGCAATATTACATATTTTGACAAGCAACCGTTTAATATAACAGTTTTAAAAAATTGGCATCCATGTTGGTGTATGCTGCACTTCACATGTCATCCGTGTTGGTACAAGCTGAACTTCACATGTCATCCATGTTGGTGTAAGCTGAACTTCACATGTCATCCATGTTGGTGTAAGCTGCACTTCACATGTCATCCATGTTGGTGTAAGCTGAACTTCACATGTCATCCATGTTGGTGTAAGGTGAACTTCACATGGCATTCATGTTGGTGTAAGCTGAACTTCACATGTCATCCATGTTGGTGTAAGCTGAACTTCACATGGCATCCATGTTGGTGTAAGCTGAACTTCACATGTCATCCATGTTGCTGTAAGCTGAACTTCACATGGCATCCATGTTGATGTAAGCTGAACTTCACATGGCATCCATGTTGGTGTAAGCTGAACTTCACATGGCATCCATGTTTGTACAAGCTGAACTTCACATGTCAGCCATGTTGGTACAAGCTGAACTTCACATGTCATCCATGTTGGTACAAGCTGAACTTCGCATGGTAAGATGTGTTTATCTTCTACTTCTATTGATTTGTTGGGGGGCGGATAACCAATAATGAGAACTGATAAAATGCCACCAATGATGTCAGTTAAATTGATGATTAAAGAAGCAACTCATATTTCAAGTTTCAGTTTTTTGTAATACAAATACCCGGTACCTACTTGTGTGAGGACATTTTCCAATGTTTAGTAATACCGGTACCTACTTGTGTGATGACATTTTCCAATGTTTAGTAATACCGGTACCTACTTGTGTGAGGACATTTTCCAATGTTTAGTAATACCGGTACCTACTTGTGTGATGACATTTTCCAATGTTTAGTAATACCGGTACCTACTTGTGTGAGGACATTTTCCAATGTTTAGTAATACCGGTACCTACTTGTGTGAGGACATTTTCCAAGTTGAGTGCCCCTCACTCCACAGTAGTCTCCCACTTTTGGAACTTTCCATAAAAATCTATTCATACAAACATTTTGATAGGCAACAGCTAGTCATGAGCTATGGGTTGTGTGGAGTGATGGTTGTGTAGTAAATGGTTATGTGTAGACATGGTTGGATGGGTTGTTTGTAGTGATGGGTTGTGTGTAGTGATGGGTTGTGTGTAGTGATGGGTTGTGTGGAGTGATGGTTGTGTGGAGAGATGGTTGTGTGGAGAGATGTGTTCTGTGTAGTGATGGGTTGTGTGGAGTGATGGTTTGTGGAGTGAATGGCTGTGTGGTGTGATGGGTTGTGTGGAGTGATGGGTTGTGTGGAGTGATGGTTGTGTGGAGAGATGTGTTCTGTGTGGTGATGGGTTGTGTGATAGGTTCTTATGCTTCATGTGCTACAGGATTCAATACAACTTGAAAATGCTGCAACTGTTGGCCTAATGACAATAACAAGATCTAAATACACAACCAGGAATAAATACATAACTACAAGACATTAAATACAGTAACAAGATAGTCATTAACACACTATACATTTAAAAAACAACAAGACTTAAATATACAGCAAACAAATCGACCGATTAATCATTCATTTATTATTGGAATCTATGACAAGCACAATTCACCTAATAATTATTGAATTCATTTAAAACTACAAAATTCTTGTCCACTTGAATTTCAATGTACGTTAAGAGTCAATACATAAGAAATGCACACATAATATTTCACGCATCGGTAAATGGTCCTATAATAACAATGTATTCACATTCCAATCACATGGCTTACTGAAGTTTTAATTTACCCATTCATCACGCAAAGAAAAAATGATGTTCTTTTTGGATTGGGAGATTCAAACCTTAATTTGGGGATTTTCAAACTTGAATTTAGTTCTAAAATTTTATTTTTTTTCTTCAACACTGTGTAAGGTACAGTAGTAATTTAACACTGTGTATGGTACAATAGTAATTTAACACTGTGAACAGTACAGTAATCATTCAACACTGTGTACGGTACAGTAGTCATTCAACACTGTGTATGGTACAGTAGTCATTTAACACTGTGTACAGAACAGTAGTCATTCAACACTGTGTACGGTACAGTAATCATTCAACACTGTTTAAGGTACAGTAGTCATTCAACACTGTGTATGGTACAGTAGTCATTCAACATTGTGTACAGTACAGTAGTCATTTAAAACTGTGTAAGGTACAGTAGTCATTCAACACTGTGTACGGTACAGTAGTCATTCAACACTGTTTAAGGTACTGTAGTCATTGTTTAAGGTACAGTTGTCAGTTAACCCTGTCATTTAACACTGTGTATGGTACAGTAGTCATTTAACACTGTGTACAGTACAGTAGTCATTTAATAATGTGTAGAGTACAGTAGTCATTTAACACTGTGTAAGGTACAGTAGTCATTCAACACTGTTTAAGGTACAGTAGTCATTCAACACTGTGTATGGTACAGTAGTCATTTAACACTGCGTACGATACAGTAGTAATTTAACACTGTTTAAGGTACATTAGTCATTTAACACTGTGTACAGTATAGTAGTCATTTAATAATGTGTACAGTACAGTAGTCATTTAACACTGTGTACGGTACAGTAGTCATTTAACACTGTGTATGGCACAGTAGTCATTTAACACTGTGTACGATACAGTAGTCATAGTATCCATTTAACACTGTATACTGTGCTGTAGCGAGTAAAAATGTTTGAGGCTATTCAACTGCCCAAACTCAATTAGCGCTAGTTAAATAAACTACAAATCCACACAAATCACTTGCAGTAAAAATATTTCCAGTCCTTTAAATTCCAGACACAAATTCAAATAGCTATCAAAGATCAATATGATCCATTACGTTGCACACAAAAAAACTACAAGTCCCATCCTCAGGGAATATAACCCTAAAAGCCTCTCTTCCAATTCCTTGCACAACAAATAATCAAGTGAAGATGAACATAGACAAGTCACAACAATCAACATCTTACTTTTAACTAATTAATTATTACTGGAATACTTCTGCCAAACTTACCAAACAACAAACTTATTTGAATGTGATACATTCATTTATTGAGAATTTGATATATTCATTTATTGAGAATGTTCAAAAGAAAGAAATAATTTGCTGCTGATACTGATACAGCAAGTTCAAGGGAAACAGACAAAAATTACTTGGAAATAATCACTTTGAAAATATCACAGTTTTCTAGTAGTAACATCAGTGTATTGATCTCATCAATTCATTCATAGTTGTTTTATCAGAAATACCAAATGTAATTTAAAATTAACAAAAATTTTAAAAATATCTGCATTCAAGTCAAGTGCATGTGTTCGAATTCAAACAAATTCTTTCCAAAAATAATAACCAATTTTTAGTTTAATCTACCCTCCTCCTCTTGAATCACAACCGTTCATGATTTCCTCTCTCCACTACCATTCATGATTCCATCTCTCCACTACCATTCATGATTCCATCTCTCCACTACCATTCATGATTCCATCTCTCCACTACCATTCATGATTCCATCTCTCCACTACCATTCATGATTCCATCTCTCCACTACCATTCATGATTCCATCTCTCCACTACCATTCATGATTCCATCTCTTCACTACCATTCATGAGTCCATCTCTCCACTACCATTCATGATTCCATCTCTCCACAAGTATTCATTCCATCTCTCTCAACTGTTTTGCACAAGTATTCATTCCATCTCTCTCAACTGTTTTGTTCAAAAAATTTTAATTACCTTTACATTTGCATACGAACTCTGAGCAACTATACACAGTAAAACAATAACAAAGGGACAGTTCCATGTCACATCTAAATAATTTATTTGGTGTTGCTGGTTCCTAAACTAGACAGCGCTTTATAGTTTATATTCAGATCAACTGATTATATTGTACTGCCAGACAGTTTGATTATGTTGCAAGGAATCAAGACTCTTGCCTGCATTCAGCTCCCAGATATTATACCAAAGACACATGCTTGGCATATGAATAAAATGAATGCAGGTGAAAGTGAAACTCTCTTTTTATACTGACATAATTTTGTATGCCTGTTTGACCCTTAAATAACTGAAATATATAGCAGGACAATGTCAAGTTGAGTTGGGGATAAAAAATATTCATAAAAAGCTACTCCACCTTTCCAACTGCCACAATTTTGTCATACAATTCTCTAGCAATAAAAAGTACATGTGACAAATCAAACAAAATAGCAAATCAATTTCAATAATAATAATCCACTACAATTTTGTCAGACAATCCCAGCGTTACTTTTTTTTATCACCTGGATGACTTTGACTCCAATGATCTTTCATTATGGTGTAACCAATCCCTAGAAACATGCAGCCCACCGCTATGCCTTGGGCAAAGACACGAAATCTCATGATGTACATTGATGGTGACATATTCTTTGGACGATTTTTAAAATTCCTGACACCATAGGCCACAGCTAGGAAGAAACCTGTCATACCTGAAGAATAAAAATTTCACTTTGGGTAAAGCTGATATTTTTTTTTTTAGAAGTTCTAGTTCTAACAAAATTTTCATTTCAATAAAAAAAATGTGTTGCAATCAGCAAAACATCAAATATTTATAGTATTATATGAGTTTCTACAATATTAACTGGATAAATACAGTGCTGTTTGTATAATTATAGTGCTGTCTTAGTGTACGTGTCCTCAATAAATTATGATGGAGACAAAAAAAGTAATTTATCAGTATCATTGATATAATGATAATAGAAACAAAAAAATACAGGAATGAGTTATTTAGTACCGGTAGTAAATACTCACTGAATGGGGCAAGGGGAATGCGGGTTACAAAAATGTAACATCAATTTAAAATGTAACATCAAGTTAAAATGTAACATCAAGTTAAAATGTAACATCAAGTTAAAATGTAACATCAAGTTAAAATGTAACATCAAGTTAAAATGTAACATCAAGTTAAAATGTAACATCAAGTTAAAATGTAACATCAAGTTAGCCCAAAGGTTTATTTAAGGAGAGGGAGTGGACTTAATAAATGTTATCTACATGAATTAGGACAGAGTTTTAGAATCTAATCAGAAGACTTTTTAAGACAAGATTCTTTTTCTGATTCAAAGAAATGGAAATGTTTTATTACAAGGTACATATTCATTTAAAGCACATAGATAAATGTTCTTACCAAAGAAAAGAAGATTTTTAAACTTGAACAATTTAACACAGGACAACTTAATTAATTCTCTAGCCCAGAAATCAGCTGTCATATGTCATGAAACTTCACTCCGTTAGTGACACTATCAATCTTCTTGATTATTTAGCTTTTGTAAAACTCTAGTGCTGGTGTTATCTGTATGTATGAATAGTGATATAATTTCCAAAATTTAAAGTGGTTGAAAAGGAGGTTGGGGGACGGGGGTGGAGGGGGATAGAGAGCAGGCTGGCGCTAGACATTATTAGGTTGGGGGAAAATTTCACCCACTGGGAAATTATGAGAAGAGTTCAGAAAAACATTTGTTTTTTCATTTTAACAAATTTTGCCACTTTCTGCAGTTTGGACCCCTTGGCGCCTGTGTGATGATCAGGCATTGTACCCGCCTTGAGTCGGCCGTGATAGACAGAGAGAGGGAGGGAGAAAGGCGGGAGGAAAAAAATATAGAATAGTAATTTTTTTGAAGTATTTTTGATAAATACACGTGTTGAGAAAACATGATATTAATCTCATCTGAATTGATGATGACATATGCCTACAAGGTTTCAAACACAAATTAAATGTAAAGCCTTTTTTGAAAATATCTTCATACCTATTGGCACCATGGGATTCTCTTTCATTTTCCGCACAGTCTTACTTCCTGTAGTGTCCTCAAACTTAGGCCTCTGAGCTTCAGACATTTTGCTTTTGGATGCAATTAACTTTTATGAAAAATATTTTGTGTTGTATCTGAGGAGCAAAAAAAGATACTTTATCAAATTTAGGGCTAAATGAGCAAACAGTGGCATAGGAAAGCGGGGCACTCCGCCCCTGGCATTACTTTTTTCCTTTATTTAGGGGTATGCAGCATTTCTGGCTCAAAGATGCAAGGCATAATTTTATATTACTATCAATTACTACTCATTATTATGAGATATTGGAACTCTTAATTGGCTAAATTCTATACAGTGTATTTAGTCTTTTATTCTGACCCAGATAAATTGAAACAGTAGGTCAAAAAACTTGTCAACCATGCCTCGATCAGTGACACTTGATGTAAGCATTCGCAGTACACCTCCTGACTGTATAGAACTAATTCTCTGTACAGCATCTGTGTGTATTTTTTGCATTATATGTCGTTTAAGATAATCCAGCTTCCAATCCGCCCACCTTTTCCCTGTGGAGAGATCCCATCCTGCATTAGCTTTGAAGCACATTTCACAGACAACATCATCATCAATTTAACGATATTTAAAAATATCATCCAGCTTGACAGTCCGCTCTGACAAAGAATCTGATAGTGCTGTATGCACAAATTCATTGAGCCATTTGCTTTTAAAATGTGATCTACACCTTTTCATAGCAAGCAATGATACTGACAGTTCATTTAACTGATATTTATACATAACGGGTAAAACACTATTAAAAATAATTAGCAACTACATTTATAATACACTAGACATATACAATTTATTTATTTATACACATTCACTGTGCAGTATTTTCTCCTAGATGTATGGTGGCCTGTGCTGTTTATGGCTGCAAGGGATGAAAGACTTAGAATGGGTATTCTCGTATGTAGTTTTTGTAATGTTGCGTTTATTTCAATGTGGTAAAAGATGCATATTTTCATTTCTCTTTTAATATGGATGACTTTGTACCACGCTTCGAGCCTTTGGGGATGAAGCGTGTTTTTCAAATAAGCTTTATTATTATTATTATTATGCACAATGAAATTTACATGAATGGCGTCGGTGGTTCAGAACAAGACTAACTTGATCCGGTATGTTTTGGTAAGTACGTAAATCAATAGTTCTATGTAAAAAGTAGAAGACAAAAATATAGATCTGACTCAAATTAAAATCATGGATGTATTTGTTATAAAAACTGTATAGTTCCGGCTGCAGAGTGCAGCGTACTTGTTCGAAATTATTTTTATAAAAATTTGCTGAGTGGATACTCAAAACTGCTACTATGCGTCTGTGAGATAGCTGTGCGGCCGCGTAGATTAAAGGGAACATTGTCTAAGAACGAGCCTCACAAAATGCCTCCAAGAACGTGCCTCACAAAATGCCTCTGAGAATAAGTAGAGTAAATTGTAGGCCCATAATAAACATATGTGATGCTGTAAAAGGGACATTTGTTAGCCTTTAATAAGTATTAACCAAGCTATAAAACTGCAATAACAGAAGCATGTCCCAAATGTAGAGTTAATATAGAGAAATGCAGTGTAATTGTACACCTTTTAGCCCTACGCGCTATTAAGAATTGTAACCACACAGTATTATTTAGTATATTTTTGCAAATTTTTATTTGCGATATTTCATTAAATTCTTGGAGAGACTTAAGGTGTGCCTTATCCGAACTTATGGGAAAACATGTTGCTAGAGACCTAAGGTGTGCTGTGTGTGAAAACATGTTGCTAGAGACCTAAGGTATGCCGTGTGTGAAAACATGTTGCTAGAGACCTAAGGTATGCCGTGTGTGAAAACATGTTGCTAGAGACCTAAGGTGTGCCGAGTATGAAAACATGTTGTTAGAGACCTAAGGTGAGCCGCGTGTGAAAACATGTTGCTAGAGACCTAATGTCAGGTGTGCCGTGTGTGAAAACATGTTGCTAGAGATCTAATGTCAGGTGTGCCGTGTGTGAAAACATGTTGCTAGAGACCTAATGTCAGGTGTGCCGTGTGTGAAAACATGTTGCTTAGAGACCTAAGGTGTGCCGTGTGTGAAAACATGTTGGTAGAGACCTAAGGTGTGCTGTGTGTGAAAACATGTTGCTAGAGACCTAAGATGTACTGTGTGTGTCACAACTTACTTGACACACCCGGGCAGCAGTATATTTGGCTGGGTAACCTTCAGGGCTCTTGAATTCCTTCTCTCCCCCCCCCCCTCCCAAGTCCATGACAATTTATGCATGTCAGGGACATGGCTATTTCAAATGTGGTTATTTTCAGGTTTTGCTGTATGTATGGTGTTTTTTTATTCATGCTACGCCACTGTGCACAAAAGTCTTTACATGCAATCATCTGCGAGCACAATTGTGTGCACGTTGTGTGAGCATTCATGACTTTGCTGAGTTTTCTATGTGTGATTGTTGTGACATGTGCATATTTGACTGCTCACAGATGTAGTATAACTTATAACATAAGCCTGTTTAATCCTTTAATCCTATAAATATTAAAGTATTAGTAACAAAATAGTAACAAATTACAAATAGTAGGAATTGCAATATTAATATTATTGTTAATGACCATTAGACCTAAGGGACCATCCATAAATGATGTCATGTATTGGGGGGGGGGGGGGGGGCTTGTCCTATTTTTTTGGGTGGGGGGGGGGGGGTGGGCTTGTTACATTTTTGTGATGATGTGTGACGAGCTGAGTTAACTGATTAGCTACCAGATTGAAAAACCTGCTGTGGCCGAAAAAAATCTATGTCACATTTTCTCATTCGAGGTGTATGTGCAAATTTAGCTGCAGTTTTCTTAATTTTAAACATATTCTAATGATTTTGTAGGTAACTTAATTGTCTATAAGATAAACTTAAAACTTTGTAAAGTTAAGTTTTATTGGGAAATTGTTATTTTTAAATTAGTATTTGCAACAGAAAAAAAAAGGAAAAAATATATAAATGTTCCAACTTACGTATACATTTTTAATTTCCAAATCATTTAAAGCCTTTTATTTGGCGGATTCCAAATAGTATATCCAATAATTAGAAAAATGAGGCAAAGAACACAGAAATTGAATAATATTTACACTTTCAATCACTTACATGCCTTTACTTTACTAACCCTGTCACTTGTTGCCACTGTAAACAAGTAGTACAAGTTTGTAACAAGCTTGGAAATAAAATCAAAATTAATTAACAGCTCCTTTTTTAAAACATTCTGCCGATAGTATGCAGTTTGAATAAAAACATACTGTCTGTAAATTAAAATCTCAAAGCAGAACGGGAAGGGAAAAATAAAAATATTTGACTTGATTTAATATGATACAAACATTGGCGCTACCAGCGGCTCGTGGCCATAACCAAAGAAACGCCAAGCCGCTCCCACCGCCTCATGGTAGTTAACCAGTTAAGCAATGTGTGTCACATGAAAAGCAGAATATTATAGTAATTGAACTTAATAACCCCAAATTACAGACATTTTTAACATTGTTCTTTGATACTGCAAATTTAATTATAAAAACTAATTTTTTTTTAAAGCATCAACTACTAGCAATGGCAGCAAATACAATTTTCTTTAAGAACCACTGTTCTAAGGAAATGTTTCTGACACAGATGCAGTTATTTTATATCCATTCAAGGTGAATTTTGTATAGTGGTTTGTAAAGGACAGTAGTGGACACAGGGAATATTTATAAAGTATAAAGGGTCTAACTTTTTGTGATGATTTATGATGATGGGGGGAGGTAAACAATTATCAAAATTTGCGTGATGTCACTTATGGATGGCCCCTAAGGCAAAGCCTAAGCATCAAAAAAGCTAACTCTGCTAAGTAGTGCTAAGTGACTAAACTTTTAAATGGTAATATTAATATTACCATAATATTAATATTTCTTAATATTTTTAAAAATTCTACTGCACTAGGCTTCTAATTCTACATTTTTTTTTAAAATTAATAACTGTAAGTAAAAAAAATATAACAAATAAATATAAATAAAATATAATTTGAGTCACAGTGTGTGAGTGTGTGTTGTGACCCTGGTTATTTGGTTACTGGCTGAGTTAGAGTCAGAGTGAACTGCTCTGGATGAAGTCACTGAACTTTTGAAGTGTGAGAGTCATTGTGTTGTCTTTAATATTGTAATTGAACCAATTATCAAAGATTGATTAAAAAGCACACTCTCTTATTCATTCCCATCGCAATCCCAGTGGCCAGTGAGTGATGACACTATTCACAATATCACACTATTCCTTACATTCAGCCTGAGCCGGCTAGCAGTTACTGAGTTACGAGTTAGTAGTACTTAGTATAGTAATACTAGTAATAGTAGTAGTAGTGAGCAGCAAGTGTTACAAGTCAGACAAGTTTAATATTAAAATAACTAATAACTTTGGAGAAAATAAAACATAATTTAATAACAGTTGAAATTAAATAATATTTGAGAGTACCTACGTGACTAGCTTCTAACAGATACAAGAACCGAGTGTGAACTTGCATATACTATCAGTATCAGACACAAATTTGATGCATACAATTGCATTGGATATACAATTTCATCAGCCTTCCCC